TTGAGACTTGTTTTGTAGCCTAACATGTGATCTTTTTCAGGGCTAGGACCCAATCCAGGATTACATGTTACCTTAGTTATCCTGTCATCTTAGTCTTAGTCCTTTAATCTGGCACAGGTCCTCAATCTTTTTGTCTTTCATGACCTTGATTGGCACTTTTTTTTTTAATGTTTGTTAATTTTTGAGAGAGACAGTGTGCACTATGGGGGAGGGGCAGAAGGACAGAGGATCTACAGTGGGCTCTGTGCTGACAGCAGAGACTGTGCCACAGTCCTGTCATGGTGGCTCAGTATCGATACTCATTTGGTCTTGGCTTTTTTCACTTAACCTGAAAATCATTCCATGAGAGTTCATGGGAGTTTATCTTTATTCTTACATAGCTTCACTCATTGTGTGGAAGAACCATACCTTATTCAACCACTGTCCTTTTAGGTTTCCAGTATTTTGCAATTAGAATGTCACAATGAATAATCTTGATTTTGTATTTTCACTATTATTGGAGGCGTATCTTATGGATAAATTCCTAAAAGGGGCTGCTAGATTGAAAGGTAAATACTTCCAGGGTGCCTGGGTGGCTTAGTCAGTTAAGCATCCGACTTTCGCTTAGGTCATGATCTCGTGGTTCGTGGGTTCGTGCCCCGCGTCGGGCTCTGTGCTGACTGCCAGCTCAGAGCCTGGAGCCTGTTTCAGAGTCTGTGACTCCCTCTCTCTCTGACCCTCCCCTGCTCACACTGTCTCTCTCTCTCTCCTAGAAATAAATAAAAAAACATTAAAAAAAAATGGTAAATCCTAGTTTTGTTAGATATTATCAAATTCTCCTCCAAAAGGACTTTATCAGTTTGTATTCCTATCAGCAAAGTATGGAAGTTTCTTTTCTCCCACCAACAGAATGTGTTGTCACAATTTTTGCTGGTGTTTTTATTGAGGTATAATTAACATATAACATTATATCATTTTCAATTGCACATCATGATTTGCTATTCATATAAATTACAAAATGATGACTATATTAAGTCTAGTTAACACCTACCACTGTACTTAGTAAAGAAGTTTTACTTTTCTTGTGATGAGGACTTTTAAGATTTACTCTCTTAGCAACTTTCAAATACACAGTACAGCATTATTAATAGTAACCATGCTATATATTACATCTCCGTAACTTCCCATCACTCATTTTGCACAACTCCCCAACCGACCCCTCTTTGCCCATTAATTTTTTTTAAGTTGAACATCTTTTCTTATGTTTAATGGCCATTTAAAAATATTTATGAATTGTCTCCTTATGTCTTTTTGCCATTTTTCTATCAGGCTCCCCCCCTCCCCCGCCCCAATCTCTCAATTTAAGAAAGTTCTATTAGGGATATTAGCCCTTTACTTTTACTGAGCTTTTCAGTTCTTCTCTTTTAAATTTCCAAGGCCCCCTTATTGTTTTTGATTGTTTCTTAAAAAAAACAACAACAGAAAACGGTGCCTGGGTGACTCAGTTGGTTGAGCATCTGATCTGACTCTTGATTTTGGCTCCAGTCATGATCTCATGGTTGTGGGGTCGGGCCCCATGTTGGGCTATGAGTGGAGTGTGGAGCCTGCTTGGGATTCTCTCTCTCCCTTTCTCTGTCCCTCCCTGGCTCGTGCTCTCTCTCTCTCTCTCACAAATAAACTTAAAAAACAACAACACAAAACATGCTATTATTTCCCCCCCCCCAGTGGATATAACTTTTTTTTTTTACTTTGACTTTTTCCTTCCCTCTTGTTTTTTTAGTGTAGTAAATACACATAACATAATTTTTACCATTTTATTTTATTAAATGTTTTTACATGTTTATTTTTGACAGAGAGGGGGAATGCACATGTGTGAGGTGGGGACGGGCAGAGAGAGAGAGAGACAGAATCCGAAGCAGGCTCTCAGCACAGAGCCCAATGTGGGGTTCAAACCCACAGGCTGTGAGATCATGGCCTGAGCTGAAGTCGGACACTTAGCCCACTGAGCCATGCAGGCGCCCCAGCTTTTACCATTTTAAACATTTTTAGGTATACAATTGACTGGCATTAAATACATTTACATTATTGTGCAACCATGGCCACAGTCCATCTTCAGAACCTTTTTCATCTTTTTTTTTTTTAATTTTTAATGTTTTATTTATTTTTGAGAGAGAAATAGACACAGCATGAGCAGGGGAGGGTCAGAGAGAGGGAGACACAGAATCCGAAACAGGCTCCAGGCTCGGAGCTAGCTGTTAGCACAGAGCCTGTCGCAGGGCTTGAACCCACAGACCGTGAGGTCATGACCTGAGCTGAAACTGGATGCTTAACCAACTGAGCTACCCAGTGCCCCCCGTTTTCATCTTCTTAAATGGAAACATGTACCCATTATACAATCACTCCCTTCCCCCCCCTCTTAGTTTATTTTTATTTCATTTAAAAATTTTTTAATGTTTTATTTATTTTTGATTTTTTAAATGTTTTTATTTTATTTTGCAAGTGGGGGAGGGGTAGAGAGGGAGCAGAGGATCTGAAGTGGGCTCTGCGCTGAGAGCAGCAAGCTCAATGCGGAGCTTGAACTCATGAACTGTGAGATCATGATCTGAGCCAAATTTGGACACTCAGCTGACTGAGCCACCCAAGTGTCCTCCTCTTAGTTTTTTAAAATTGAGTTATCTGTGAAAGTTTTTGCTTTTTTAAATATTTATTTTGTTCCACCTGTCAACCCTAGAAGTCTGTCGAATCTTGGATTTTTCTTTCATTTTAAAAAATAACCACTAAGAGGTTGCTTGGAAATTTACAACATGGGGTGAGACTTGTCAACTTTGGGGTGCACTGTGGGCCATCCTCGGCCATTTTGGGGAGATATCTATATGTATTTTCTTGTGGACTAATCAGATTCCCCAGAGAAGAATCTTCCGATTTCCTTCTTGGATGGCAAAACAAACTGCCAGTGTTCTGGGAAATGAGTGGGAAAGTGAGGGGTTCATATATTTACTGTATCATTCCAGCTTCCTATTATGTCTGGGATCTCCCTGGCTGCAGAGCTTCACTTTTACCCTTTCTGAAGAATAAACTTCCAAAGTTGGGTAGTGGAGGGGGAGTTACCTCCTGTGTGGAGTTGGGGAAGGATTTGGGGATCTCACTGCTTCTTAAACTTTGTGGTATACTGTAATTGTTCAGGCCTGTTTAGTTGAGGCATTCCCCAAAAATGAGTTATCTGCTCCCAGGGCTGATCTCCTCTATAAGCTATAAAGGGGTTGGGGAGAGAATTCACCCTGTAAAGTCCTATATCCTGTTGAACCCCTGCGCAGTTGTGCACGATGTTCCTGACTATCCTGGTTGTCCTCCCCAGAAAGTAAAACTTGGGTTATCTGCCAAGGTAAGAGAATGCGCATCTTGAGGTCTGATTCTTATTCAGATTTTAAACAGGTCCCTCCTTTTTGAGTTCCCTTCTGTTTTTTTTAAAGATTTTATTTTTTTAAAAAATTTTTAATATTTATTTTTGAGAGAGAGAGGGAGACCCCGTGAGTAGGGGAGGGACAGAGAGCAAGAGAGACACAGAATCTGAAGCAGACTCTAGATTCTGAGCTGTCAGCAAAGAGCCCGATGAGGGGCTCGAACTCAGATAATGACCTGAGCTGAAGTCAGACGCTTAACTGACTCAGCCACCCAGGCACCCCTTAAAAGATTTTAAGTGATCTCTATACCAGATGTGACCTTGAACTCAACCCTGAGATCAAGAGTTGCATGCTTTACCGGCTGAACCAGCTAGGTACCCCTTGAGCTCCCTTCTCTTGACCTTCATAGGTATTGTTGCTTTCATTCCTGAGCCTTTCTAAGGTCCTGTAACTTGCTTCTGGGCTTCCCCTACTGCCAGCTTAGATTTTCACTTTTTGGCCTACTAAGTCTATTATCACTTAGTTATGTGTTTTCTTCTTTTAAAATTGTACTGTTCTTGTCTCCTTTTAAATTGTCTTTGTGAGAGTTTTTGCTTTTCTTAAAACCCATTTCTGTCATCTTAATAGGATTTGGATAGAGAACTGAAGTAAACATGTGCTCAGTCCTTCCCCTCCCGATGCGCAGAAAAATAATACAACTTTTCTTAAAGTTGTTTCAGCAAGCTGAAATTAGATGATTGGTTTTTTTGATTCATAGTCTATTATTTCTTCTACCCCACCCACAGCAGCTGGCACCTTTCTGCGCTGGAGAGCCTTCAGTAATGCTAGATCTTATTAAATCTGAGGAGGAATCCTGTTTGGTTTTTGACTATCAGCTTCATCTATCATTCCTAATAAGTGTGTCCCCAAACTTCATATATATGTATGCATGTGCTTTTTTACTTATATTCACTTGAGAGTCTGTGTGACTCCCTGACTGTGTGAGAGCACCTGATAGACTCACGTCCCTCCATAGCCACTCAAAGTTTTTGACTGACAAAGAGGAGGCTGGTCTCCCTCTTGAGGTACTGGTGTTGCTTGCATTTATTGAATATCTGCCTCTGGTTGTCTATACACAGCAAAAAGTATACACAATAGTATACACAGCTGTTCCTTTCTAAAATTGACATATAAAACACAGTTTTGATATGGAATCAGTTTTAAACGGTATGTGATCCCCTCTCCCTTCCCCATCCTTCATTTTACAAATGATAACACAGAATTTGGGTGACTGACATAAAGTCACTTAGCTAATAAGAAGCAGTATCAACACTGATGGATTTTCTTCTGACTCTTTACCCGGTTTACTCCATCAGAAACTGGCTGCATATTGGGAAATGATTCTTGAGATTTATTTCTGTTAGAGGCAGATATACCAAATGGGGTCATGTGAGAGTATTCATGTCTTCCCATTTACACTGTGGGGAAAACCTTAATCAGGTAAGGATTTCATTATGTCTGATAGTCTAAATTGAACTTCATAGGCTGTTTTTTTCCTAAGAATTTTCTAAGCTCTATCGCTGTGATTATATCTTTATAACATTTTTAGGGTAAATGTATAACTCTTCTTTCTCTTCACAGCTGCATCAAGATCTCATTATGCATCAGAAAAATGAAAAAACAGAAGAAGATTTTATGGAGGAAAGGAATCCATTTAGCCTTTTCTGAGAAATGGAATACTGGATTTGGAGGCTTTAAGAAGTTCCACTTTCACCAACACTTGTGCATTCTGAAAGCCAAATTGGGAAGGCCAACTATTTGGAGCAGGCAGCTGAGGCATTTCCAGTGCAGGAAGAAGGCCCTTCAAATCCAGAAAACATGGATCCACGATGCACGCTTTTTTGCTAAGGCAGAGTCCAGTGTGGCTCCTCAAAATGTTAGTACTTTGTCCTCTGAAGTGAAAAGAAAAGACTGTAAACACTTCATTTCCTCCTCAAGGACCCTCCTAAAACTCCAATCAGAGAGGCTGCTGTCATCAACAAAGAACTCTGACCATGAATACTTTGGAGAGAAAAGTCTCTTGAAGGCAGTTGCTGATTTACCAGCAAATAGTGTTTTAGGTCAGGTCAGTGGTCACAGATCTAGGACAGAGCCACAAGCTTCTGACTTTCCCATGAAGTTCAATGGGGAGAGCCAAAGTCCAGGTGAGAGTGGCACAATTGTGGTCACCTTGAGCAACCATAAGAGAAAGCGCTTTTGTTATGGCTGCTACCAAGGGCTGGAGCACCACAGGAATGGGGGACCCCTGATTCCAAAAAAGTTTCAACTGAACCAACATAGAAGAATAAAAGTATCTCCTCTTATGATGTATGAGAAATTATCCATGATTAGATTTCGGTACAGGATTCTCAGATCACAGCACTTCAGAACAAAAAGCAAAGTTTGCAAGCTAAAAAAAGCCCAGCGAAGCTGGGTGCAAGTCACTGGGGACCATCAAGAGACCCTTAGGGAAAACAGTGAGGGTGGTAGTTGCAGTCCATTCCCTTCCCCAGAACCTACAGACCCTTCTTGTCGGCATCAACCATACTTCTCAGATATGGACAGCAATGCTGTGATGAAGGGAAAGAACTCTCATGTGCCTGATGGCCACACTAAAGGAAGCCCTTTCTTGGGCAAGGAACTTAGTTTAGATGAAGCATTCCCTGACCAACAGAATGGTAGTGTCACATACACCTGGGACCAGTCAACCCGTTCCTCTCCGAAGTGGGAGTGTACAGAGCTGATTCATGATATCCCCTTATCAGAACATCATTCTGGTAACGTGTTTATCTCAGAAAACGAAAGAGAAGTCATGACTCTGGGTCAGGAAAATCGGACAAGTACTGTCAGTGATGACCGAGTAAAACTGTCAGTGTCTGAGGCAGATCAGTCTGTGAGTGATGTAGATGGGCCTGTGTCTGAAAAGACTGTTCAGAATGAGAGCTCATGCCAAATGGATGAGGATGGATCTCTCAAGCAGAACATTCTTAGTTCTAAGTTGCTGGACCACCCTTACTGTAAAAGTCCACTGGAGGCTCCTCTAATGTACAGTGGACTCAAACTTGAAAGTCAAGCAGGAGGTGGGAGGAACAGTCAGAAAGCATCTCCCGTGGATGACGAACAGCTGTCAATCTGCCTTTCTGGTATGCACTCTTCCTTCATTCTCAATCTCCAGCCCACACTTGCTGTCTATTATCTTTCCTTTTTTTTTTTTTTTTAATTTCTTAATGTTTATTTTCTTTTTTGAGAGAGAGAGAGAGATGAGTGGGGGAGGGAGAGAGAAAGGGGGGGAGAAAGAGAATCTCAATCAGGCTCTGCAGTGTCCGCATGGAGCCCACTATAGGGCTCAAACTCAAAAAAAACTATGAGATCATGACCTGACCCAAAATCAGGAGTTAGATGATTAACCGACTGAGCCACCGAAAAGCCCATTATCTTTTCTAGGAGAGTCCTGTTTTTTCCTTCTACACTTGGGTTTTCCTTTAAGCATTTAGACATTCTTCTTTGAAGTCTTCTATATTGCTGTATTATGGAGACTTTCCATACTTTTTAAGTTTTGGTTGATGACGTTTGTGTTGCTTCCAGTTGTTTGCTTCTATAAATGACAGTGCAAGAAACTACTTCTATATGTATACTTAAATAATTTTTTCTCTAATTTGTAGTAGTGAAATTGATGGTGAACAAATACTTAAAATTTTAAGAGAATTGTGAAATTGCCTCCAGAAAGTTGAACCAGTTTACTCTTGTTAAACTTTATTAACAATCTTCTCATTCTAGATGACCTGAGAGTGTTTTGATTTGCATTTTTGAGTTTAAACTTTGAACATCTTATTCTGTGGTTCTTGGCCATCTTTGGTTTGTATGTAATTTTCCTTTGTCTGTTTTTGGGTTGGATTGTTTGTATTTTATTTATTTAATATGTAAGAAATTCCTATATGCCAGGCACTGTGCTAGTTCTGAGAATGTGGCAACAAGAAAGAAACACTGATTCCTACCTTGTTAAATTTTAATTATACATATCCTAAGAGTTTAAGTTTTTCCTTCCCCAAAGGTAAAAAGTACCCTGACTTTGCATGTGGTAATTTTGCTTAAAGGAAATTATCAACTCTTCACTGAGAAACTTACCTGTCTTTATGGCTTCAAGTTTTTACGTCATACTTTAAAAAGTCTTCCTGTTAAAATCTACCCCATAAATAAGCTGGTGTAAACATTTTTGGAAGACAGTATGGCAGTATTAGTCTTTGACCCATTCCTCTTCTTGCAGTTTATCCAAAATAGAAATATATTTGTACAGGGACATGATTTACAGTATTGTCCTGGTAGTAAAAAAAAAAAAAAAAAAGTTTCTATGGTAGTATAAATATAGCACATCTGGGCAGTAGTACATTATGAAGCTGTTAAAAAGTTCAGTCTATAGTTTGAAACTGAAAGCTATCTAAAGTGAATAAAACAAGTTGCAGAACAGAATGATGCCATTTTGTTAAGAGATATACACATGTAGCATATGTATAAAAGCGTGAACACACATTTGTATAGGCCACATCTAGAAAGATATATTAAATTGTTATAAAGGGCTTTTCTGGGGAATTAGGAGAATTACTTCTTGGTGTTTTAAACAATTCTGAACATTTTTTGTTTTTTTAACCATTAAGTATGTATAGAAAGTTTTTCTCCACAAAAAGACATGGAGTACAGAGTCCTAGCAAATCTTAAAAAAGAAAAAAAAATTCTGTTGTTTATACTGTTTTAGAATAAGGAAAGACAAATTCTCTACTATAAAGTTAGCAGAACCATATAAGACATAAACCTGAAAAAGTGAGCATTTACACTCAGATACCAATTAGAGATGTAGCACTTACAAAAGCAATTGATAAATTGACTAATGGCATACAGTAAGACTGTAGTGTGACATGAGGAAGTAGGCATTTTTACAGAATGCACACTTGGTGATCTGCAGAGTAATTCATTATTTTAATAGGCTGAGAAAAGAAGAACCAGAAGAACCATTTTTGGGGTTTTACTTAGCATCTCCATGCTCACTGAAAAGAGCTGAAGCAGAGCAACAACTACTGCCCATTACAGCCCTCCCCATACCAGCAAAAAAAGACCTGAGTAGAGATAAGCCCACAATCTATCACCAAATATCTCAGGAAAGCTAGCACAATGAAAAGGACAAATTCAACAAGTAAAGGAACTAAACCTAAATAATCAGGATTAATAGAGCAATAAGGAGTCCATATGAGACATCAGTATAGTTGATGCTCCTTTAACTGACTTCTATAGCATTAGCTAATATTAAGTTCCATGATATGCTGAATGCTGGCTTTTCTCTAATAGTACTACACATATTCGCTGCAGTGGATTGATACATTTATCAAGAGCCAGTTGTACTTACTACAGTTTACGTACTATTTTATAATTGTAAATATTGCATAAAACTGATTTTGGAAGGAAAAGAAATAGATTCCTATGTCAATATATTCCAGATGGATTAAAAATTTAACCAGTTAGAAACAAATCCACGCGGACTTGTACACAGATGTTCATATCATTATTCATTATAGCCAAAAAGTAGAAACAATCCAAATGTCCAACTGATGAACGAGTAAGTAAAATTTGGTATTTTGTACAATGGAATATTCTGGCATAGAAAAGAATGAAGTACTGCTATATGTTTCAATGTGGATGAACCTTGAAAACATGCTGAGTGAAAAGAGCCAGGAACAAAAGGCCACATACCATATGATTCTGTTGATTTGAAATGTCCATGGTAGACAAATACAGAGGTAGAAGGCAGGTTGATAGTTGCCAGGGGCTATAGAGAGGAAGCAATGAGGAGTGACTGCTAATTGGTACAACTTTTCTTTGTGGAGTAATGCACATGTTATTGAATTAGGTGAGAGTAATGGTTGCATAGCACTGAATATACAAAAAAAACCCACCCCACCAACCTACTGAATTTTACACTTTAGAAGAGTGATTTTTTTATGGTATGTGAATCCCAGCTCGATAAAGCTGTTAAAAAGAACCCATTTTATAATAAAAAGAGACCACTTTATAATTTCACATTGATAATACATTTAATTTCATTTTTTTGAGAGAATGTGTGTTTGCAGAGGTGGGGCAGAGGGAGAGAGAGAGAATCCCAAGCAGGCTTCATGCCCAGTGCAGAGCCCGGCCTCCCCATAAGATCATGCATGACCTGAGTCAAAATCAAGAGCTGGACAATCAACTGAGCTACCCATGCATCCCAATATTACATTATAAAGCTTGATAGGAAACTCAGAAGCAATATACCAGTTTCACTCCATAAATATTAAAACTGTATGTGTACATAACAGGTCATTAATGAAAATTTAGAACTTTTAGATATGCATGTCCTTTGACCCAGAAATTTAACCTTCAGTGGGTGTGTTGTGGGGAAATAGCAGAACCAGGATATATCAAGGGTTTTAGTTGTGACATTACTTGGAGAGCTAAAGAAATTAACAAATGGTTCCCAATAGGGAATTGTTTATGGCATACCCATTTAATGGGTTACTAGATTGTTTTGAATTGGCCTAGGGAAAAAAATTCCATTAGTATATTGAATGGGATAAAGTAACTTCAAGAAAAGAAACTAGAGAGTGCTTATATGTTTTAATAAATGATGTTCATAGTAAAAGGGCATAAAAGTTCTAAAGGAATTAGAGGATGGTTGCCATTTTATTTTAAAATGTTTATGGTCATGTATTAGAAAGAAAAGTCCTGGGGTGCCTGGGTGGCTCAGTTGGTTAATCATCGAACTCTTGATCTTGGCTCAGGTCATGCTCTCATGGTTCTTGAGTTCAAGCCCTGCAGACGGAGCTGCATTGACAGTGAGGAGCCTGCTTGGGATTCTGTCTCTCCTTTCTCTGGCCCTCCCCTGCTTGAACTTTTCCACTCTCTCAAAATAAACTTAAAAGAAAAAAATCCTAGGGCACCTGGGTGGCTCAGTTAGTTAGGTGTCTAACTTTGGCTTGATCATGATCTCACGGGTTGTGAATTTGAGCCCCACATCAGGCTCTGTGCTGACAGCTCAAAGCCTGGAGCCTACTTTGGATTCTGTGTCTCCTTCTCTTTCTGCCCCTCCCCCACTTGTGCTCTCAAAAATAAAAAAATATTTTAAAAAAACCAAAACCCTGGACACCTTGGTGGCTCAGTCGATTGAGCATCCGACTCATGACTAGGCTCAGATCATGATCCTAGGATTGTGGGATCAGGCCCTACATCAGGCTCTGTCCTGGGCTTGCGGCCTGCTTAAGATTCTCTCCTTCTGCCCTTTTCCCCTCTAAACGCGTGTGCTCGCTCGCTTGCTCTCTCAAAAATTCTATTTAAAATTAAAGCTTATTCCCATTTCAGGTTTATAAAAATGTTCAGCCATGTTTCTTCTATTGTGTTATTTTAAAATTTTGCCATTTTGAAAAAAGTAAAGATGGATCCCGATTGCATTCTTTTTTTTTTTTTTTTTATATTTTTATTTCTAGGAGAGAGAGAGAGACAGCGTGAGCAGGGGAGGGTCAGAGAGAGAGGGAGTCACAGACTGAAACAGGCTCCAGGCTCTGAGCTGGCAGTCAGCACAGAGCCCGACGCGGGGCTCGAACCCATGAACCGCAAGATCATGACCTAAGCGAAAGTCGGACGCTTAACCGACTAAGCCACCCAGGCGCCCCCCGATTGCATTCTTATATCAAAATGAATTCCAACTGTAAATAAAAGATTTAATCAATAGTTCTAATATTATTTGAGTGATCTTTTTCCTTGTGGTTTTGAGTTGCTACCTGTTGTTAGGTCTCTTACTGGATTTGGTTTTTTGGTTTTATGCTATTACTTAATTCTAGTGGCTTTATAATTTTTTTAAAAAGTTTATTTTGAGAGAGAGAGTATGGGGATCAGAGGAGGGACAGAGAATCCCAAGTAGGCCCTGTGCTATTAGTACAGAGCCCAGTGCGGGGCTCAGACTCCCCAACCATGAGATTGTGCCTGGAGCCAAAATTCATAGTGGGACATTTAACCAATGGAGCCACCCAGATGCCTCAGTTTTATAATTTGATGGGACTAGGCCCTTCTCCTCTTTTGCCCCCCCCCCCCCATTCACCTCTCCTCTTTAATCCTTTTCATAAATTTCTAGGAATTTCTCATGTTTTGGTCCCAAGATGAGTTTTGGATTTGTTTTTTCAATTAAACAAAAATAATGGCTTTGATTGATATTGCATTACATTTACAGATGAAGGGAAAATTACATTCATTATAATATTGAGTATTCAAGAATTACTCCAATTACTGACCTATGTCCTTTCACCAGAATTTTGTGCTTTTCACTTAGGCTTGCACATTTCTTAAGTTTAGTCTTAGATATTTCATGCCTTATTTTGTTATTTTTTTAAGATGTTGTTTTCAAGTAATCTCTACATCCAGTGTTGGGCTTGAACCTACAACCCCAGATCAAGCGTTGCATGCTCTACTGACTGAGCCAGCAGGTGCCCCCATGCCTTCCTTATTTTTGACTGGGCCTTTTTGCTATATATTGCATTTTGTTGGAGAAGCAAATGGCTACATTTCTTGTATGCACAACACAGTGAACCTCATTCCACATTCATGATGGGATGTGACCCATCAGTTGCCTTTAGAAAAAACTGTCCAGCATATTTGGTTTAAGGTGAGCAACTTAACTTCTGAAATAACACCTTAGGTTTTGTTTTCCATGTTATTACCTTTTGTGTGTGTGTTTTTTTAATTCTTAGTTTATTAATCCTCTCAAGAAAAATCTGCACAGTTGCCAGAGATAGTCACTGTAGAATCTTTACTCCTCCTCTTTGCTGACACCAACATTGGCTTTTGCGGTCCCTCTGACTTTCTTCATTCTGTTCTTGTGTTCTGCTGTTTTCTTGAGGTATTTTTCTTCTCAAACAGGCCATGTCTTGCAAGACTATGTTTGGGTTCATTTTTGTTTGCATAATCCAAGGCATCATAAATCATGCCAAAGCCAGTCGTCTTGCCACCACCAAAATGGGTTCGGAATTCAGATACAAAGATGACATCGGATGTGGTCTTGCATATTTTGGCTATTTTTCCCCGAATTTCTCACATAGGTACTTTTGCCTTTCCCGGATGAAGAACATCAGTGACCATTTATTCCTGCTGAAATAATGAATTGGTCATGAACTTGCTGGTCACGACAGTTACCATGTTGTTCCTGATGGCAGCTGAGCTTCAAACAGCCAGGGAGGAAAAGAGCCATATTATTACCTTTTGTGCTTGCAGGGTGGACTCTAATTTGAATTCTAGTTTTTGTTTTGTTTTTTTCCCCTAACATTTTATCCTTTGTTTCTTGGTCACATTGAAGTTTTAATACTATGCCAAATGCGTTTTTCCTTTTTGGATCATGAATTTGGTGAATGGAAGTGGGTAAAAAATAATGGATTTAATTCTCATTTTAAGAAGTTATTTTCTGGGCAATTCTTGGCCAGTGGGTATTAAGAGGAAAAGATACAGTGAAGAACAAGATGCTTTTGTAGAGAAAAGAGAATAGGTATCTCCTGCTTTGGAGGCAGCATAGGATAATGGTTAATGGTTAGCTTTTTGTGGTCTTATACCCTACAATCAGGATCTTAGCTCTGCCGTATGCTACTTCAGGGTCTTTGGGAAAGTTACTTAACCTCACTAAGCTTCCTATCTCCATTTGTAGATTAGGGGTTCTGTCCAACATAGGGTAGTTAAAAGGATGAAATGAAATGTACTGGTGCTTGGTTTACGATAATGATATTTGAATGTGGTTTTACTTCTGGTCCCAGTGAGATGTGTGTATCAATGAGACATTATCATCTAGGCTTCTCCTTGAAGATCCAGGCAGGGCCTTTCTGCTGCATTAGAAATCCATGTTTATCATCTGAAAGTGAAAACAAAAATACAGATAAGAGGAGAAAACCAAACCCCTTACCCTCCCCCCCCAATACTACCATCCATAGATAACACTGTTAAGAGGGACACCTCTTTTCCCATGATACTCATTTGGAATTATGGTCCATATCCCATTGATAGAGGAGACTGCTTTCTTACTTGACGAGTCTCAAGGCTGCTGGGCCTACAGTTAGTCTTTTGTTATTAGGTGCATTATTTTGGTGTGAAATTTGCTCCTCAAATGCAGTTTCTCCAGTGTTGGGATTCCTTATCTTCTGTTAGAGTTCATTCTCCCATGTAGACATAAAGCTGTTCTTAGGTAACTTGTAAACACTTGCAGGCAAATACAAGTTTAGAAACCCCAAATCTTTACTTCCTACTCTTATTAAGCTAGAACAAGGGATTCCCTTTCTGTCTTCTGTATCCTTAAAGCCTAAATCAGAACCAGGCATAAACGAGCCGGCTCTTTCCTGTTTACTATATCCTGACCTTAGTTAGACCTTTGCTCTGAAGCCTTTCAAATTGAGAGCCTTCTGGTGGGAGACTAACAAAAGGAAGATAGGTTTTTCACACCCTTATCTGAACCTCCCTCAAAAAAACCCACTCTGTTTTTGGGACAGTCACTCCTGTTGTGCTCTTTCCTGTCCATTAAAAAAAATTTTTTTTAATATTTTATTTTTTTCTGACAGAGAGAGAGAGAGAGAAACCAAAGCAGACTCCCAGCCCTGAGCTAGCTGTCAGCACGGAGCCTGACGGGTTCGAATCCACGAATTGTGAGATCATGACCTGAGCCGAAGTCCGACACTTAACCAGCTGAGCCACCTAGGTGCCCCCCTTTCCATTTTGTACTGATGTGTACCAGAGGCTATTCTCAAAGGTAGAAGGGAGCTGGGTAAAATAAGTGGCTAACAGTGCTCATTCTCCCCATCTTAATTCTGGAGACTTGTCAGACTGATGGCTAATTAGGTTTTTGGGCATCAGTGAATGCCCTAAGTCATGTCAGCACTTTTGTAAGGCTCTAAGCTTTCTTTCCCTCAGTTTCTTTGTATTTCCTTAGAAATATAAGTCCTGGTTTTATTTCCTGAAACCTTTTCAGGTACATTTATTCAGTGGGTCCTTTTGGAAGCCATGAAAATGCATATACATATTATTTGACCTGAAGACTGTCCTATTCTGGCCAAGAAGTCACCCTTTAATTGTTTCCCCTTTTAAAATATGCCTCACCAGCTGTTATCTAGTTAAGCTCACGTTATAGGGTTATTCAGTATCAAAAATAAAATAACTCCACCAAATTGTATGATATTAAAAATGTCTTAGAATTTTTCCCTTGCTAGGAGATGTGAAATTTACAACAGTTAACAAATAATAGTGACTGCAGTCTCAACAGATCCCTCAACAAATTGTGGTTTTTGAAAAGATAACTCTTTAGGGGCACCTGGGTGGCTCAGTTGTTTGAACATCTGACTTCACCTTAGGTCATGATCTCAGGGTTTCTGAGTTCAAGCCTGGCATTGGGCTTGCTGCTGTTAGTGCTGAACCCGCTTTGGTTCCTCTGTATCCTTGCCACCCCTTCCCCACTCATGTGCACATGCGTGCGTGCTCTCTCTCTCTCTCTCTCTCTCTCTCAAAAATAAAAAGTAAAAAAGAAAACTCCTTTAGTTGCAAGATGTGATACACATTTAACCAGGTGATTAAACTATTTAGATTTCACTCTTTAGGAGAGAAGATTCTTCTGCAACATTAAGCTACTGAAGGATGTCAATCTTTAGTTTTAGCTAGCCATTTTCTAACAGTGCATCAGTAGTTTAAAAATCCAATGTGAAATGATACTTTAAGGCATTTTTTTCTGGATTGGAATGGTGAGGGCCTAATTGATCTATTTTATTTTTTACAAAACATAACTTTTTAAAGATTTCTTTATAGTGTAATATATAGGTTAAATGTATGGTAAGTGTTCTGTATAGGTTAAATATTGGAGACTGACTTTTTCTGAAAATGGTTTTTCCACTGTAATTTCTCTTCCTTTATTTAAGGATTCCTAGATGAGGTTATGAAGAAGTATGGCAGTTTGGTCCCACTCAGTGAAAAAGATGTCCTTGGAAGACTAAAAGATGTCTTTAATGAAGACTTTTCTAATAGGTTTGTCAATAATGCTCAGTTTAAGCCCTTGAAAATAAAATTGTTGGCATATGTGACTTTTCTCTTAATTAAAAAAAAGAAAATACTTAGCAGTACATTTAGTGGAACTCCTGTTTCTTTTCTTTCAAAATCTTTTTCAGAAAACCATTTATCAATAGAGAAATAACAAACTACCGGGCCAGGCATCAAAAATGCAACTTCCGCATCTTCTACAATAAGCACATGCTGGATATGGATGATCTGGCAACTCTGGATGGTCAGAACTGGCTGAATGACCAGGTTAGTGCATGTAGGTTCTTAGGAAAAGTTGCAGAGGATGTTGGACAATAAAATACAATTAACCTTTGGGTTGGCCTCGTAGTTACAATTTGGAATCAAGGATTCTTTACTGAAGCTACTTCTTCACAAACCCCAGTATCCAGAAGGTTTGATTACTGTTACCAATCAGTGGTACTCATTCTGAGTGGAATGTTCTGAAATGTATAGGGTTAGTAAGCTGTTTCTATGTTGACTTTTTATAGGTCATTAATATGTATGGTGAGCTGATAATGGATGCAGTCCCAGACAAAGTAAGTGAAAAGTTACTCTTCAGGAGAGAGAATTCTTTTGTATTAAAATGAGGTGTTTTTTTTTTTTTTAACTTGATGTGATTATTCCTTCGATTTTTAAAGGTTTCAATTTTATCTTCATCAGGTGCTAACAGGTTGGGCCTAAGTTCTATAAAATATTTCAGCCTAGGAAAGTCAGATTGCCAGTGGTTTTCCTGCGTATTTATTTCAGAGTGGTTATATTGATTTTTCAGGAGGACTTTAAAAAAATTTTTTTTTAAATATTTAATTACTTTTGAGAGAGAGAGAGGAGACACAGAATCTGAAGCAGGCTCCAGGCTCTGAGCTGTCGGTACAGAGCCCAACATGGGGCTCGAACCCGCGAACTAAAAGATCATGACCTGAGCCAAAGTCAGACACTCAACTGACTGAGCCATCCACGTGCCCCACTTGTTTTCTTTGCTTTTCTTATTAAGTTTTAAGTAATCTCTGTACAAGTGGTTCGAATTCACAACCCCAAGATCAAGAGTCACATACTCCAACAACTGAGCCAGACAGGCACCCCAAGGAGGCTTTTTTAAGGTGTGAAAAAACAAAAGTCGGGGTGCCTGGGTGTTTCATTTGAGCATCCCGACTGTGGCTCAGGTCATGATCTTCCGGTTCGTGAATTTGAGTCCTGCATCAGGCTCACTTCTGTCCCCTCTCTCTTCCCATCCCCCCCCCCGCCCCCCATTTCGTGCTCACTCTCAAAAATAAAAGTAAAAACAAAATTCAGCTGAGTATATTTAAAGATCTTACTGGCTTTATTCAACTGACTCATGAATTGGGCAGCATCCCATCTAACAAGTTAAAAAGGAGCTTTGAAAAGCTGTACAGAATGGAAGACTTACAGGGCAGAAGGGGGCAGGAGAAGGGTGTTACTACCAAGAGTAGATTGATTGCAGTAAAGTCACTTTGCTTTAGGGGAAGACAGGGGTCTAACAGGCAGGTTACCTAAGTAGTGTTGTCCAGGTAATTCTGTTAAGATTACAGTACTGGGAGAGGCTGAAGTTGCATTTAGGTGAGGTATTTTTGGTTTGGTGACATGGGCTAAGCACAAGTCAGCACTAAGTTAGACTCTATTTTGGGCCTCTTGTCTCTTTTTTAATAGTGAGGAGATGCACAAAAAGGGTGTATTATTTGCTTTAAGTTTTTCAATTTAACTTAAAGTCTTATTCTTTTTAAAGATGTCACTTTTTCTTGGATGAATCTTTAATACTCTGTTCAAATACAGGCAGACCCTCCTTAAACTTTAAAATTCCCATAAGAGTTTTGTTACTATTAAGATTTTCTTTGTTATGGGGCGCCTGGGTGGCTTAGTCTTAAGCGTCTGACTTTCGCTTAGGTCATGATCTCGCGGTTCGTGGGTTTGAGCCCCGCGTCGGGCTCTGTGCTGACTGCCAGCTCGGAGCCTGGAGCCTGTTTCAGTCTGTGACTCCCTCTCTCTCTGACCCTCCCCTGCTCACGCTGTCTCTCTCTCTCCTAGAAATAAATAAAACATTAAAAAAAAAAATTAAAAAAAAAAAAGATTTTCTTTGTTACTATTAAAATTTTTTTAACTTAATGCATTAATTTTTCTGACTATTCAGATTACCTGACGGATAACCTTTGATTTCAACATATGAAACCTTTCCAAGTACTTTTACAAATCTAATAATTTAAACAGGTTGAACAGATTCAACAGTGTTGAATCTGAGATTCTAATACTTTATGAATATAGACAAAATGTCTTATAACTTTCCACTTAAAATCACAACTCTGCATTTTAAATTGGAATCATGAGGCTAATTTGTTGGATTCTCTATTATGTGAACTTCTCGTAATCACCAGAAAGTTTAAACCTAAACACATATTATAGATGATTTTTAACATAAAGGGTATTAATTTCAAGGGTATAATTTACCTTCATTATTTCTATATTACATTTAATTCTGAACCTTTATTAGATTAAAAGGACACTTAAAATCCGTAGATCAGTAGCACCAGCATTTCCTAGGAATTTACTAGAGATGTAAAAGTTTGAACTCTAACCACCCCCCTACTGAATCAGAAACTGGAGGTGAGGCCCAGCAATCTGTGCTTTCACAAACTGTCCAAATTCTGATGCACACAGAGTTTGAAAATCACTTTTCTAGAAATAGCTATTACAAGCTCTTTTTATTGATATCTTAAGCTGCAGAGTTCTCAAAACAATGTGCATTAGGATTTTCTGGAAAGTTTATCAAACCAAACAGCTGAGCTCCACCCTCAGTTTCTGCATTAGTAAATGGTCTGGGGTGGGGCCTGAAAATTTGCATTTTAACAAGTTCCTGGGTTATGCCAATACTGCTGATCTGTTGACCACACCCTGAGAACCTCCGCTAAGGGAACAGGTTTTTCATTTCAAGTGAATCAGAGTTACTGAGTGAACACTTTTAAGACCACAGTATGTTAACTATCTCAGACGAGCTGATCCTAATTTATAAGCCAGAAATTTGATATGTTCCATATGACCAGGTTAATTCTTTAACAGCTGTTATGAAAGCAGGAGTCTCCAAGTCCATATCCTTCAGAAGGGGTTAGTTTTATAATCCATAGCCCTTGAGTTCAAGGTAATATTACCTCATTCTTTCTTATTAGCCTCTTTCAGTTTTATCACCTGATTTGGAGAGATTTGTCAGGTTGCTTCTCTACTTGATTGGATTCAGGTAATCTATTTATTTACTGTCCCATTCCAATTCTATCTATAGACCACAGTTGTAAGGTTATTCTAAGAAAATTTGGAACAGAATCTTCTGTGAATCAGGTAATTTATTTTCTATAGAAGACACTTTTCCTCCTTTTGGTCTGTCTTACATACAAGGGTTTTTAAATTTCCATCTTCTTTTGAAGTTAAATCTGGGTATAGCTTAATATAATTTGGATGCTTATATTTGATGTCTCTTCTAGGTTCACTTCTTCAACAGCTTTTTTCATAGACAGCTGGTAACCAAAGGATATAATGGAGTAAAAAGATGGACTAAAAAGGTATTCCCTTTACTTCTTTTTTACTCTAAACGTGAATTGCAAATAAGCCACTTTGAGTGGAAGAATAACAACTTTAATGTCAATGATACTGATTAGAAACAGACTCTTAAACACTCTTTAATATGATAATTGTTATTGTTTTTTACATCCTGTTGTTTGAAACGCAAGATACTAGTAAAACTCTTGAGTCTTCCAGTTGATTGGAGTATGCTCTAGAGGAAAGCACTGGGCTGGAAGTGAATGGTTCCAGCATTGTCATTAGCTTGCTGTGCAGCTTGGACAAGACACTTTATTTGGGCTTTATAAAACAAAATGATAAAGTCAGCATAACCCCTAAAGCTCCTTCCAATATTAATTTCTCTCTATAGTCATTTACTAGTGCCAGAAACATTATTTTAAGAGCCAATTTATATTCTGTTTTTGATATTTTGGCATAATTACTGAGTTTAGGTTCCACAGTTACAGGACTAGAGATACCGTAGCATTTCGTTTTTTTATACTGGATGGGTTATAGAAATTAAGAGTAAGGCTTGTGTTGAGTAGTTGTGGATGGAAATAATTTTTTGCCAAGTACAAACACCTGATTGAACATTGTTATTTAGGTAATATGTGTAAAGCATCATCAGTAATGCCACGATAAGCATGGGTGAACAGTGCAAATCTGGGAGAATAGACAGAATGAACTCAGGACTCAGACCTGGGTTCACATCCTGCTCCAGCCACTTAACAAGTTGTAAGACCTTGGGCAGATAATACTTAATTCCTCTGAGCTTCAGTTTTCTCATCTGTCAAATGGTAGTATCGTTAAGTATTTACCTTGTTGAGAGGATTAAATGAGATAATCTGTGTAAATCACTAAGCACCACAGTAAGTAATAATCATTATATTATGGCGGTAGAAGCACGGGCAGCAACTAGTGTAGCTGGAGTGCAGAGAGCAAAGAAGAAAGTGGCATGAAGTGGACCTGATCTAGAGATATAGGGCCTTAAGGTCTAGGTTTTGAATTTTAATTTTAAACGTATAGGAATCTACTGAAGGGTTTTAGGGGACATCATCCGATTTGTAGTCTTTGCTGTAGCAGCACTGAAAAGGATGGGTGAATGTGGGAGCAAAGCTGATGTGGGTAGAACAGGAGGCCACTGCAAAGTACCATTGGTGGTACTTTGGATTAGAATGGTAGCAGGACGGCTGGGATATGTACAACATATAAATAAGTTCTAGGAAGTAAAATTAACAGGACTTGGGTGACAGATTGTTTATGGGAATGAAGGAGAGGAAATATGAAAGATGACTTCCAAGTACAGAATATGATTATCTTTTCCTCATCTACATTAACTCTTCTTGGTTAAGTAGCATCCCACTATATGGGTATATTTTCTTAAACTGACCAATTCCCTAATAGTTATCCTTAATTTTTCCTGTATAAACACCATCACAGCCCATCCAGTGGTACAAGCCACATATAGGCATACCTTCTTTTATTGTGCTTCAATTTATTGTGCTTCACAGATACTGCGCTTTTTACAAATTGATTTGTGGCAACCCTGCATCAAGTAAGTCTGTTGACGCCATGTTTCCAACAGCACTGGCTCACATTGTGTCTTTGTGTCCCATTTTGATAATTCTCGCAGTATATCAAACTTTATTATTATTATATTTTGTACAGTGATCAGTTATCAGTATTGTAATTGTTTTAGGGTGCCATGAACTGAACCCATGTAAGATAGCGAACTTCATAAATGTTATGTGTTCTGACTCCTCCCACCAGCTGTTTCCCCATCTCCCTCCCTTTTGGGCCATCCTGTTCCCTAGGTAACACAGCATTAGGCCAGTAACACCACAGTGTGTTCAAGTGAAAGGAAGAGCCCTATGCCTCTCACTTTAAATAAAAAGCCAGAAATGATTAAGCTTAGTGAGAAAGGCATACTGAAAGCTGCGATAGGCTGAAAGCTACGCCTCCTGTGCCAGACAATTGTGAACACAGAAGAAAAGTTCCTGAAGGTTACTCCAGTGAACACATGAATGACAAAGTGAAAACAGCCTTACTGCTGATACAGCAAAGGTTTTAGTGGTCTAGATAGAAGATCAAACCAGACAAAACAGTCCCTTAAGCCAAAGCCTAATCTAGTGTAAGACCTTGACTCTCTTCAGTTCTGTGAACACTGAGAGAGATGAGGAAGCTGAAAGGAGAAAAGTTTGAAGCTGTCAGAGGTTGGCCCATAAGGTTTAAGGAAAGAAGCTGTCTCTACAGCATAAAAGTACAAGGTGAAGCAGCAGGTGCTGATGTAGAAGCTGCGAGTTATTCAGAAGATCTGGGTCAGATAATACATAAATGTGACTAAGCAACAGATTTTCAGTATAGATGAAACAGACTTCTATTGGCAGAAGATGCCATCTAGGACCTTCATAGCTAGAGAAGAAAAAGTCAATACTTGGCTTCATAGGACAGGCTGGCTCTCTAGTTAGGGGCTAATGTGGCTGGTGACTTGAAGTTGAAGCCAGTGCTCACTTACCATTCTGAAAATCCTAAACCCTTAAGAATTCTGTTAAATCTACTCTCCCTGGGCTCTAAATGGAACAACAAAGCCTGGACGACAGCACATCTGTTCACAACATGATTTGCTGAATAGTTTAAGCCCACTGTTGAGACCTACTTCTCAGAAAGATTCCTTTCAAAATAAGACTTGTTATTGACACTGCACCTGGTTACCCAAGAGCTCTGATGGAGATGTCTAACGAGATTAATGTTTTCATGCCTGCATAACTTCCATTCTGCAGCCCATAAATCAAGGAGTAATTTCACCTTTCAAGTCAGATTACTTAAATACTTCTCATAAGGCTATAGCTGCCATAGATAGTGACTCCTCTGATGTATCTGGGCAAAGTAAATTGAAAATCTTGTGGAAGGGATTCACCATTCTAGGCACCCCATTAACATTTGTGATTCATGGGGAAAGGCCAGAATATCAAAATAGTTTAAAAGAAGTGGATCCCAACTCTCATGGATGACTTTTCGGAGTTCAAGACTTTAGTGGAAGAAGTAAATGCAGATGTGGGGGAAATAACAAGAGAAGTAGAATTAGAAGTGGACCCTAAAGATGGGACTGAATTGCTGCAATCTCATGATAAAACTTGAATGGAAGAGGAGTTGCTTCTTACAGATGAGCAAAGAAAGTGGATTCTTGAGATGGAATCTGCTCTTAGTGAAGATACTGTGAGAATTGTTATGAGAACAGAAGATTTAGAATATTATATAAATTTAGCTGATAAAGCAGCAACTGGGTTTGAGAAAATATAGTCTAATTCTGAAAGGAGTTCTGTGGGTAAAATGCTGTCAAACAGCATCACATGTTACAGAAGAATTGTTCGTGAAAGGAAGATTCTGTCAATGCTTTAAACTTCAGTGTTCCCCAATTTTAAGAAATTACCACAGCCACCCAACCTTTAGTACACTACCATCCCAATCAGTCAGGAGCCATCAACATTTAGGCAAGACCCTCCACCAGCAGAAAGAGTACAGCTCACTAAAAGCAAGTTAGCATTGTTGGTGGTTAGCACTTTTAACAATAAAAAGTATGTTTTATTTAAGGTATGTATTTTTTTTTGTAGCCATAATGCTGCACATTTAATAGGCTACAGTTTGTGTAGACAACTTTTATATGTACTCGGAAACCACAAAAACTCATTTGTTTTATTGCATTGGTCTGGTACTGAACCCACAATATTTCCAAGGTATACCTGTATACACTATATATAAGAAACAGAAAATGAACAAGAAAGATTGAAAATAAACTGACAGTTTAAAAGGTACTAGGCAAATGTAAACCAAAAGAAAGGAGCGGTAAATAAAAAGAAGGAATGGCAGTATTAGGAGCAGATGAGGTAGAATTTAAGGTGGAAAGTAAACGGTGTGATGATATTTCAGTATATAGGAGGTGCCTGGGTGACTCAGCCGGTTGAGTGTCCGACTCTTGATTTTGGCTCAGGTTATGCTCTCATGGTTCCATGGACTCAAGCCCCGCAGCAGGCTTCACACTAATGATGCAAAGCCTGTGTGGGATTCTCTCTTCTGCCTTTCTCTCAAAATAAATAAATAAACTTACAAAGAAAAAAAGAGAGTTAATGTCCATTGAATGCCTTTATCATTAAAGAAAAAATGAAAAATAGAATTTAGTGCTCGCTAAATTAGACATCAAGATAAATTACAGAATGACCAAGGATTTGAATGCAACGAAAATGAATGAAACAATGGAAGTACTAAGAAAAATCCATAAAAGAACTTAAAAAAAAATAACCTCAGGGTAACTTGAGTCTACTCTGTGCACAACTTTAAGGTTTATAAAAGAAAAATGAATTCAGTCACATAAAAAGGAAAATAACTCTGCATTCAAAATAGGAGCAATGTAAAAAGACAAACAGTAAACTACAGAAAATATTTGCCGTTAATGTCACAGAACTAATTTTGTTAATATATGAGGGGCTTACACAAATTGACAAGTAAAAGACTCCACCGACTCAGCAGAAAAATGGGTGGGTGATATGGATGAAAAAGTTTATAGTAAAGAAAAGTGTATTACTTACTGTTCTGGATGTAAATCCTTTGTCAGGTCTATGTTTTGTGATTGTTTTCTCTGTCTATAGCTTTTCTACATATTTTCTTAACCAAGTGTTTTGATAAAGATTTTTAATTTTGATGATTCCTCCATGTGGATATCCCATTCTTCCAATGTCATTTGCTTGAAGACTTTTTCCTAGTTTTATTGCTTTGGCACTATTGTAGAAAGTCAACTGACCACATATGTATGCGTCAATCTCTGTACTTTATGTTCTCATCCACTGATCTCTTTGTTCTTATGCTAATATCACACTGTCCTGATCACTGTATCTTTACAGTATGTCTTCATACAGTGTAATTTGGCCAGCTTTATCCTTTTTCTAGAATATTTTGGGAATACTAGGTCCTTTGCATTTTTATTTTCATATAAATTTTAGAATCAGCTTGTCAAGTCTTTTTTTTTTTTTTTTAATCTGCAGGATTATAATTGGGATTGTGTAATGTTAGTTTGGGGAAAATAGACATCTTAACAATATTAAGTATTCCAGCTCCATGTACATGATACGTGTTCCCTTTATTTCGAGTCTTTAATTTTTCTCAGCAATATTTTGTAATTCTTAGTGTACAGGTCTTGCACATATTTTTTAAAAATGCACCCTGGGTGCCTCTTGTTAAGCATCTGACTTTGGCACAGGTCATGATCTCATGGTTCATGAGTTCAAGTCCCACATCAGGTGAGCTCGAGCTCTGCTTCTCTCTCTTTCTCTTGATCCCTTATGCTCTATCTCAAAAGCAAAACAGGAGGTGCCTGAGCAGCTGTCAGTTAAGGGATCTGACTTCCGCTTGGGTCATGATCTCATGGATCGTGAGTTCAAGCCCCATGTCTGGCTCTGTGCTGACAGCTCAGAGCTTGGGGCCTGTTTCAGATTCTGTGTCTCTTTCTCTCTCTCTGCCGCTCCCCCACTCACATTCTGTCTCTCTCAAAAAGCATTAAAAAAATTATAAAACATTAGCCCTATTTCATATTTATGAAACTGCTATAAACAGTTTTTAAAATGCTATCTTCCAATATGTTAGCAATAGAAATACAATTTATTTCTGTCAACTGACCTTGTATCCTGTGACCCTGCCAGACTCACTCATTGGTTCTAGGAACTTTTTTGTAGATTGTGAGATTCTCATAGACAGTCAGGTCTCTATGTAGTGCGTGTTTTATTTCTTCTTTCCATTCTGTATGCCATTTTTCTCTTGCCTAATTGCACTGGCTGGGACTTCTGGGAGATGGGATATCTTTGCCTTGTTCTCAGTCTTAGGAGAAAAGCTTTCAGTCTTTCACTACTGTTGAGGATGTCAGTTGTAGGGTTTTTTTGTAGATACTCTAATAGGTTAGAGAAGTTTTTGCTGCTCCTATTCCTAGTTAGCTTGACAGTTTTTAATCATAAATGGATGTTGAATTTTATCAAATACTTCTGCATCTAAGGAGATGATCCTATGGTTTCTCATCTTTATTCCTTAAAGGGGACCCAGATGGAAGGAAGGAACAGCATCTAACTTGAGACATAACATCTCAGGAACACATGATGGCTCTTGAAGCTTCAGCTTGGTCAGGACATAAATTCACTTCTACTTAGAGAGCACTGGTTAAAGCAAATCACATGACGGGACTACATGACATCAGGCAGTTCTATATAATCCTTTTATAGGGAGGGCAGTAAATAATTGGAATCAATAATAAAACAGTCTGCCACATATATCATTCTTAATTATATGTATAAAGTTATGTGTGAGAATGTATTAAAAAGAAAATCTGGAAAGATAAACACTGAAGTATACTTTTTATCTATGTTTTCTAATTTTTATTTAAAAATTGTTTTCATAGGGGCATCCAGGTGGCTCAGTCGGTTGAGTGTCCAATACTTGATTTTGGCTTGCATTGTGATCCCACAGTTGTGAGACTGAGCCCTGTGTTGGGCTCTGCTTAAGATTCTCTTTCTCCCTCTGCCCCTTCCCCTGGTCTCTCTCTCAAATAAACTAAAAAAACAAAATTGTTTTTATAATTAAGAAAAAGCGTGTGTTTTTTTTTATGTTCCTTTTTTTGAGAGAGTGTGAGCAGGGGATGGACCAGAGAGAGAGAGAGAGAGGGAAGCATAAAATCCGAAGCAGGCTCTGAGCTGTCAGCACAGAGCCCTACATAGGGCTCAAACTCATGAACCATGAGGTCATGACCTTGAGTCAAAGTCAGACACTTAATTGAGTGAGCTGCCAGGTGCCCCAGAAAAAGTTTCCTTTTAAGAAGAATTTAAATTTGGTCTCATTTAATACTGTCTTTTAGATGTGATTCCTTCTTTTAGATACTCAGTTTGTGCACTGGAAAGGACCAGCTGTCTCAGGTTTCCTTCTGTTCACCTTACCTGTCAGGTTTATGGATGCAGAAAATGGAAAAGTAGAAGTGCTAAACTGTTTCGCTTCAAGATCATGTTGACTAGTAGAAGATTTCATCTAGAGCAGGACATTATCTGAGTATCAGAAAGCAAAGAAGTCTTCAGAAATTGCTTCTTAAGAATCTGATGAATAGCCTTGTGATTGTTTTAACCCAAGGAATCACTAAAAACTCAAAAAAAAATCACTCTTTCATAGATGTTTATTGAGCACCTACTACTTTATCATCCATTCCACAACTGGGATTTTGAGTGGAATAATAAATATTCCTAGATTGTAAAGGATATGTAAAGAATTATCAAGGATATTTTTCTCAATTGTGACATCTGGGAAACCTGATATGTAATATGTAATATGTAATATGTGAAAGCAGTTTTTTAATGCATCTTACATGTATTATCACTCTCAGTAATTTCCCAAGGTAAGGGCTGTTGTTATCTGTAGTTTACAGTTGAAGAAATCAAGTCACAAACAAGCTATGAAAATGACCAAAGTAATCTGGTCAGTAAGTGGAAGAAGTGCACTTTGAACTTCACCAGACTTACTTCAGAGCCCATAATCTTTTTTTTAAATGTTTTTTTTTTTTTTTTTTTTTAATTTCTAGGAGAGAGAGACAGCGTGAGCAGGGGAGGGTCAGAGAGAGAGGGAGTCACAGACTGAAACAGGCTCCAGGCTCTGAGCTGGCAGTCAGCACAGAGCCCGACGCGGGGCTCGAACCCACAAACCGCGAGATCATGATCTAAGCGAAAGTCGGACGCTTAACCGACTAAGCCACCCAGGCGCCCCCAGAGCCCATAATCTTAACTAGGACACTGAATTTATAAAAAGAAGGCTTATAATGCCTGTGCTGTTTTATAAAACCATGATTCCTTCCTAAATAAGAATTGAGTCAGGTTAAATATGTATACAAGAAAATTAAGCATAAGAGGCTAAGTCATATTAAGCATTTGAAAAGCACAAGTATAGCAGGTTTAAATGTGAAATGGTGCTTTCTGGATCTTCAGTTTTCTTATTGTGTATTATAGTTTAGTAGTTACAAGCATGGGCTTTAGACTCAGACCTAGGTTCAGATTTTGGCTTCACCACTTCCTGCTTCTGTGACCTCAAGCAGGTCAAAGGTCAGTAAATGGAAGCTGCTGCTACTGTTTGGATAGCCTGTGGTGATGGCTGCATTTCTTTTTCTTTTTTGATCAGGTGGATTTGTTTAAAAAGAGTCTGCTGTTGATTCCTATTCACCTGGAAGTCCACTGGTCTCTCATTACCGTGACACTCTCTAATCGAATTATTTCATTTTATGATTCCCAAGGCATTCATTTTAAGTTTTGTGTAGAGGTAAGTTAATATACTGCCTATATTTTTTCATTTATCTTGTGATCAAATAGTATTTCAGAACAGCAGAACTAGGTTATCATAGAGTATCAGTTTCTGATAACCCTCTAAAATGTTGGCAGAGAAAAAGAACTACAAGAGGAATCCCAGGTGGGGAGAGGTAGCTGTCTGTGATACGGATCCTGCTCTGAGACATATGCCCTGTTTGGATTTGGTCACATATCTTCTTGCCTTCCTATAGAGCTGCATTTTGACTGGATACAAATCATTTTCCTTGGGTTTTCTTATAGCTAAAATTGGCTTGTTTCTTCAAAATAACTTTTGTAGAGTGAATTATAATCAAGAGAATCAGCCAGCAAAATAGGAGAGCTCAACTATGACAGTTCAACAACAAGGTGGGATGCAAAGCAAGAAAAATCCATTGGTTTCCTGTTTCCTGATTTTCTTTCACTAGCAAGGATTGGTTAAAAAATTTAATTGAAAAAAAGATTCCATTTTCAAAATCAATAAGGATGTAAACTGGCCAGGACTATGTACTCCAGCAAAAATAGTGGAAGTTCTTTATGATGAGAGCTCTATATTTAAAGGAAATCTGAGCAGAAGGAAAGATAGGTAGATTCAGTATTGGAAAGAGATCAGTTCTCTAATAATATATACCAGTTTGTCCTAATCAATTTCCCAAGAGGATTTTGAATGAAAACTGATAAGCTCATCCTAGAATTCATACTGTAAAATTTATGGCATGAGCAGTGAAGGAAGGACTACTAGAGATCAAACCGTATCACAGAGTTTAATAATTAAAACTTAAGAATAGACTAGTAGATTGGTGGTACAGTACAGAGAATCTAGGAATAAGTGCTGTATACAAGGGAACCTGGTTTATGATAAAGTTGGGAAAAGACAGGCTATTCAGTATATGCCACTGTGAAAAGTAGCTGTCTGTTTGGATCCCAATACAGATCCTTCATACTATTTATAAAAACAAATTCCACACAAAATAATTACCTCCATATAAAATGCAAAACAATAAAAGTTAGAATATAGAAAATGTTATGTTCTTGGATTCGGGAAGGGTTTCTTACACAGAACCATAAAAGCAAAAAACATAAAGGAACAGATTGATAAAATGGATCCTACCATAATCTAAAACTTCTACAGGTCATAGAGTTCAAAGAGAAGTGAGAGACCTGGAGAAAAATACTTGTGACATATAATAATCACTACCCAGAATATATAAAGAACTACAAATGAATAAAAGGATTGAAGAGAAATGGGTAAAGGCTATTAAGTAATTTTTAGGAAAAATGTAAATAGCCTTGAAACATGTGGAGAGATGCTTAATCTTCTCAAAAATACAGGAAATGCAAATTAAAACTACGTCAGGGCTTCATTTTTTGCCCATTAGGTGAGTTTGGTGGTATTCAAATATTCATTGGGTGTAAGGAAACCAGCTTTTATATTTTCTGGTGGACTATGAATTAATATAGCTAGCCACTTAGGGGAGTTGAAATTCTGATCAGTTCTAAGTGCCTTATAAATTTATAAAAGATGTTTGTGTATCCTAGGGCTGCCTGGCTGGCTCAGTCCCTGGAGCACACACTCTCTATCTCAGGGTCGTGTGAGTTCAAGCCCCATTTTGGGCATGAAGCCTACTTAAAAGAAAAAAATATAGCCTATTGACTACCAGTTCCATTTCTTAGTATATAAAAATGCTTGCATGTGTTATGTGCACAGTGATAGGGCACACACCAGGATGTTCACTGCAGCATTACTGACAGTAAAAAAAACAAAACAAAAAAACCCCCTAAATTTAGCTTTACCAACAGTAGAGCTAAATACACTATAGTACATTCATATTATTAAACTGGCCATCGCAGTTAAGAAGAATATAGATCTCTGTCCTAACATGGAAAGATCTCCAAGACCTATTGGGTTTTAAATAGCCAATTGCAGATTGATTCAGTGTGTGTTTATGGGAAGAAAATACATATACGCAGTTGTGTGTGTGTGTATATAGATCCATGTACACACACACACTATGCTCCACCTTTGGTGTAGTTGGTTTAATTCCTGTTACCTCTGACGTCACCTTTAGAAGTGATGCACAGAGGTAGAGGGCATAAGGGAAAATTTGAAACTCTGATAGGCTTCATCTTGGTAGAGGTTTCAGCAGTGGACTTGACTGTACTTAGTATCCAGAATAGGTTTCAGGAGGACTTTCTAGAAACTGCAAGATATCTTTACCTGCAGCCCTCAAAATACAGAGTATATCTAAGGCTGGAATGTTTTTCATTTAGTTTCAATTACTGACTTCTGCCATGGATCCCTTCTTTGTATTGAGCACTGGCAGTAATCAAATTTTTTTGGTCCTCCCAATGTTTACTTAAATGTCAAATTCAGCAAGTTGGCTTACTGCTGGAAAAGGCTGACCATCTTAAAAAAACTTCTAAAACATTTATTGGTGTCCACAGCCTAAATGCACATTCTGCATACCTGAGTGTAGAAGGCCTGAGTCCTTAACACTATGAAATGAAAGGTCAGAAATAAAGTCCCACCTTTAAACTATCGAGTGCAGACTTTGCTCAGCGGTGAGGCCACAGCCGCCTCCTTTGCTTCTCTCTGCTGTGAGCAGGTTCCATTTTTCACCAACTGATGGAACACAGCATCTGTGTTGTGGTTTCTTTTTAACCAGAATATAAGAAAGTATTTGCTGACTGAAGCCAGAGAAAAAAATAGACCTGAATTTCTTCAGGGTTGGCAGACTGCTGTTACAAAGGTAAGTATGTGATAAAAATGAAAACCCAGGGCATGTCAAGGGGATGGAATTATCCTTAGGGGTGGGTGTCTTTAAAAGCATCTGAAGACTGGTGGTGGAGATACCAGTAAGAGTCTGGAGGCTGCAGGGAGGCAGCTTAGAATAAACCTGTTTAGTACTGATCATCTAGCCAATTAGTTTCCCAGTGCTTCTGGAGAAAAATTTAGTCATTTCATCCATAGGGCAGCTATGATGATATGGTTGCTATATTGGAAAAAAGGGGTAAAAAATATATGTAACTTTTTGCTTTTGATGGCACCTGCCTCTTATTTCCAGATGACCCACATAGACCCAGAGAAATGCTGAAGTGACTATTTGGATCCACTAAGGGGAACAAGTGCACTGGGCTTCTTACCAGGCATCTGGGGAAGACAGTGGCTTGAGTGTTTCAGTATGAAAGCAGCACTATGTTTGCCCTGTGTGCACTCATGCCATCTGTGGGGCAGATTGCCCAGGCAGGTCTTCTCATCAGTGTCACAAATACCAGCATCTTTTTATGGTCACTGCTTTATTGTTTTCAGAGTGTTTTTGCATGTATGATCCTTACAGCCTGTGAGGTAGGCAGGTCGCTTAGGGACAGACATCATTTTTATTCTGTAGATGAGAAAACTGAAGCCTAGATGTGACCTTCCCCTGAGGCTATCAAAACTACTGATAGAGTTGGGGTCCTTAAACTCAGGTCTGTGTAGATCACTAACAATCTTAAAGAGGCAGAGTCTTGGGGTACCTGGGTGGCTCAGACATTTAAGGGTCCGACGCTTGGTTTTAGCTCAGGTCATGACCTCACGGTTTCGTGAGTTCAAGTCCCACATCGGGCTCAGAGCTGGGAGCCTGCTTGAGATGCTCTTTCTCCCTTTCTCTCTGCCCTTCCCCCACTTGCGTGCTCTCTCAAAAAAAAAAAAGTAGAGTCTTAAAACAAAGCAAACCCAGGGAACCAGATTTATTTGTTCATCCTTTAACTACCACATGCTAAGGTTTAAACTTAGGCTTATGTTTTATTTTAATAATCTAGTCTTTTAGTTGAAACTGGAATTGAACTTGTAAATTTTGAAAATTACCCAACTAACTAGAATATCTGAATGTTCTAGAACCCAACTAGGTATTCTGAATTTAGTCAAGATCCTTCTCATTCCCCCTTTAGGAAATCAAAGCTTTGGGAAACATACTTTTTTTTTTTTTAAGTTTTTTTAAATATTTATTTTTTAAGAGAGAGTGCAAGAAGGGGAGAAGCAAAGAAGGGGGGACAGAGGCTCCGAAGTGGGCTCCGCACTGACAGCAGAGAGCCTGATGCCCGACTCAAACTCCCGAACCATGGGATCATCACCTGAGCCAAAGTCAGGCATTTAATTGACTGATCCACCCAGGCACCCCAACATACTGCTTCTCTTTATCATTTCTTTCAGAGTAAGAGTTACGTAACAGGAGATGAAACGTGAAGACTACTAAGGATTTTTAGTACATATTGAAGAGTCTAGGCATATGCTTTCTGATCCACAATTCCATTTTGATACCATTGTCAGTAACTTGATAGCAAAACTAGTTATCCAAATCAAGTTTTAAATAGGGTTTTGATTTCCTATTTCTCCTATTTAGGCAAAAGGTTTATAAATTACATTTGCTTGCTAACTCTTTTGATGCCTCTGTAAAATCACACACTTTAAATACCGGAGGTATATACTAGTAGTACACCAGCTGTCCCGGACAGAGACAGGTTTCTTGTCTGTTACTTATTTTTCCATAAAAACAAATAATTTCTTCTCTGAAGATGAGTACTAGGTCTTATTTTAATGATCGTTTTGTTTTCTCTTTAGTGTATTCCACAACAGAAGAATGACAGTGACTGTGGAGTCTTTGTGCTCCAGGTAAAGAAATCTGTTTCTCTAGAATTTGGAGTGTGGGAATTAAACTTGTTGGGTTAGAGAGGAGATGGGAGCCCCTGTTGTTACGTACCTGGCATTAGGCATAGGTACCCAAATATTTCCTCCTCCTCTGTTGTTGGGGAGCTATAGTTTCTGCATTTTCAGATGTTATCATTAGAAGAATCACCTTCTAGGAGCCAGGGATGAACAACTGGTATACATGTCTTATGAGAGGTTAGTAAGGCACACTGGACACTCGCCTGAATCTGTCTGCATCATAGACCCTTGGCATTTGCAGAATTAACTATGTTTTTGTTTTTGTTTTTTTAAAACCTGTGGCAGGTGGTCTTTAACCACAGAATAAAAACTATCATTTTAAATAAGGGCCACATTCAAAAACTGCTTTCTCATATGTTGTAGGTTCCTTTAGTGGTCTGAAAGTGTTAGTGAAAATTTTATACATTACATTTACGAAGAAACTGTGTATATAACCCATGAATTTAGAGATTTCCAAAGATCACAAAAGATGGGCTCATTCCTTTGACTCATGAATGTCTGGGATTGGTAAACAGGCTGAAGTTCTCACTTAGAAGATGACTTCAGGTCTAGTGGCAGTCAGCAGGTAACACCTTGGAAAGAATTGGAGGCTCTTCATCAATTTCTGCTTCTCACAGTGTTGTTTGGGGAGAGAGGGGAGACCCCAAGCCATACACTTACCTGGAAAGCTGACTATAATTTGGAGGCAAATGTTTCAAAACAATGTTTTTACAGCCAGTTTAAACAACTTTTTAAAAACGCTGCCTTAGGCCCTATTTTATTAGGGCTGCGTCACAGATCTACATGCCATGTAAGTGTCTCTGGGACCCTTTGCAGTACTGCAAGTGCCTCGCCTTAGAGCAGCCTTTCCAGTTTTCCCAAGAGGACATGCCCCGCGTGCGGAAGAGAATTTACAAGGAGCTGTGTGAGTGCCGGCTCATGGACTGAAAACTCAGCAGGGACTCTGGCAGGTCTGACCAAGCTGAAGCAGATGGTTTGTTACTTGAATCTCCAAACACTTATTTGAATTTTTACAGATATTTCAGATCAGTGGCATTGGGCCGCTATTGTTACCTCAAATTTGTTTTTTGCCCTATTCATTCTCTAGCTACCGTGTACTATTTTTTAATGTTCAGTTTGGTTTCATTTTTAATTTTATGGATTCCGTGTGTTTCCCCCCATATTTAATATTTATTATCCAAACGCATGCGTATAGACAGAGCATGCAGTGCAGAGTATTAAAAAAAAAAAAAAAAAAAAAAAGCCTAGTAGATTTGGTGCAGCTTTTGAAACTTAGTTAGACGTGAACTGAATACAGGTTTAAAATTTAATCCCAGAACCTAAAAGTGCAGGATGTTTTTGATACAGCAGAACTCTGAGAAGGATCGTTGTTCCCTGGGGTGTAAAGGGTAGCTAGGAGTGGTGGTTTTGACAAAGCCAGTCCTCTTTTACCTGCTACATCTTACACGGACTTCCCTCTCCAAATGAGTCTTGCAGAGTAACTTGCATTCCTTTTGAAGGGTGAGAAGTGGCCATAACCTGACTGGTGTGTTCTATTTAACAGAGGCACACTTAATAAGAAGTGCCTAGTTTGGGAGGAGTTGATTAAAGACAACTTTGGGGGTCCAGTCATCTTAACTCGTGAGAAATTTGGATCTTGGCTTTAAGAATTACAACAAATGCCTAAATCTTAAAGGCTTTTGCTTGAACACTGAATTCTCTGGATTTGTTAAAAAATGTTAGTATCTATCAAGCCAGTAGCCAGTCACATGAGAATTCAGCCTTTCCAAGAGTAATTTATAAGTTGTCACTGCCCTTATGTTGTCTAAGATGTGTCAAATATCTTTCTATTTCCAGTGGTGGTTCAAATATAAATCTTCAGAACTAAAGACTGACCTGGGTCTTTTGCAGATGGGTGGGGAGAAGAAGAAAAGTAGTAAGACTTGCTTGCAGGGAGCACAGCAGATGTTGTTACACTTTTTTTTGCTCCTCCCTCTTTAGTGATCTCAGCAGCATGCGGGGCTCCTCAGTTGGCCTCTTGTTGACCAACCCTGAAACTCCAGCACTGGAGTCCTTTTTTCACTTCCATCAACCTCACCTCCTGGGGAAAAACAGAAGCAACCCTGTCCTAATACTTAGCTGCATTAGGATTAAAGTAATGGATCTTGCCACTTTATTCTAGCTTTTTGTGATATTTGAAAGGAAATGAGAAAAGATGCCTGTTAAACTAAAGTACCTTTTCTGAACTGGGGCAGAAAATACAACAAAGATGTAGGTAAGAATCTCAGAGCTTACACCAAATACCAAGTAAACGACAGAAGATACTTGGATTTATGCCTGGTTAGATGTGGGGTGTTGGAAAGCTAAAACGTGCAGTTAAACTTGGCCATAAGGCAAGGCTGCCAGCAGTTGAAGATAGAGTCAGAATGTTTACATGCAGGGTTCCCATCCCCTCACATTCCAAGCATCAACACCAGCGTTTACATCGTAAAGAGCCCCAGCATTCTCCACAGTCCTCTAGACTTCGCATGTAAAGCCAGGTCAGTATTTCCTACTGTGCTTCAGGTCACTAAAAGGACTGAGATCAGAGGCACTTTATGCTGCTACAGTTAGACTGGTGTCAGCATTCACAAAGATGGCAATTTAAGTGGGGAGGAAATCTTGAGGTTCTGACATAATTATGCAAACATGAGATTTTTTCCAAATGTGCACCTAAGACATTTGCCTAACCTTTGGGAGAGGGGGCAGTTATGCAAAGTGGCCAGTAACCAGGCTGTGGATTCACAATGTTTTATACTTTAGAGCTGTATCTCACCTCCTCACTGACAGAACCAAGCATGTAGAAGAGACAGAACTGTGTTCTGAATCTTAATGCCCAAAAGTGGAGTTGCCAGTTGCCTCCAGTCTGAGAAATGGTCACTTCCTTGGCGTTGAGGCAAGCAGGGGTGTGCGTAGGTAACTACAGTAAGCTGTCCAAGTCCAGCTTCCCTTTCACTTCCAGCTTCATGGGGCACCTTGAGGTGTACTGTCCAGCTTGCTTTTGCCTAAACGTCAGATGTTCTAAGTATGGCTCAAAATGTTCCTCTATTCATGAAACCTGGTTTTAGCACACATAGTTGCTTTCCCCCCTTATTCTTGTGATTAGGTGTACACCTCTGTTAGCCCAAGCCCTGTATCAGAGGGGCCTCTGTCCTGATGTTTGCAATAATTGTTCCTTGCAACAGACATTTTTAAAACATAGTCTGGGCTGCGGGTGGAAGAGACAGGCATTGTTTGGGTGCCTACAGAGTGGGCAGACCTTACGCTTTTGGGTTTGAGTGCAGGCCTTGAACAAACTAAAAGCTGCTTATGATGTGCCTTCAAGCTGCCCAGTCCATCAGCAAACTTACTAGTCTGTAGTTGTTTCCAGTGATTTGTCCTTATGTTAAATCTATAGCCACGAATGTAGATTTACTTCAACTTTTAGTTCTCTTAAGGAGAAAGGGAACCTCTTAAGGAAGGGAAAAGAAGCAGTTGCTGCCAGTAATCCCCACTTTTTGGCTCTGCATTGCATTTTCTGCTTATCACTGAGCACGAGTGACTTTGTCATCTTGGATTCAGAGTTGGAACAAAACAACAGCCCTGACTGGGACACAGCCAGCACTAGTGTAAGAGCTGCCCTTTTTTCCCCCCGCAGTTGTGTTCACTGCTTCCCCAGGTGAGAAGGGCTGATGGGAGAGCTCTGGGTGGATCAGACCCTTCCCATGAGAAAAAGCATGTTAATAGTGTGAATTGAATATACTGACTACCTGCTCTGCTTAATTATGTTAAGGAACGGAACTAATCAGCAGTTGTAAAGCACCTACTTCTATTATGTGTGAGGCTCTGCCTCCTGGCCCATAGATGATGAAGAGCTAGGGACTATACCGTCAGAGAAGTGCTAATTGTATTTGGGTGTTACAAAAACAGGCCTAGATAAGCTGTTCACTTAAATGGTACCTTTTGGTCAGAAAAAGAATTTATTTAAAGATTGTGATCATGTAAAATTACTCAAACCTTCTAGCAAAAATATTTTTTTGAAAAATAAACTAAATGCCTTTATAAATGTGTGTTCTGTTGTACTGAATAGGGAGTAGTTTTTCAGGGTGCTACTCTTGTCGTGAGAAAACTCATTTATGAACAGTCACCAGTGTAAGCTCTAAGCAGCCGACCCTTAACCAACACCATCCAACAGAATTTTTTGCAGTGACAGCAGTGTTCATATTCGCATGCATTACAACAGCTACTCCCCGCTTTTGACTCCTGGCCATCGCTAGTGGCTACCATATTAGGTAGCTGTCAAGTCAGAACAGACATGTGAATTCTGCACATACTCAAATATTCCAGAGTAAGAAAGAGTTCCAAGGTCTAACGGGCAGAGACAATGATAACTTGGTTCAACAATTCAACAAGGTTCCACTGTCTGTGGTTTTTAAGGCCTGCAGAAATCTGAGTTACGTTTTACTACAACATTATAAAATGCATGACTTCAAAACTACAGCATAAAGAAAATTTTCAAATGAAGAGTAAGTGTATGTCCTCATTACAACTAGTTCTAGCTTTTTTTTTTTTTTTTAATATTTTTTATTTATTTCTAGGAGAGAGAGAGACAGCATGAGCAGGGGAGGGTCAGAGAGAGAGGGAGTCACAGACTGAAACAGCCTCCAGGCTCTAAGCTGGCAGTCAGCACAGAGCCCGACGCGGGGCTCGAACCCATGAACTGCGAGATCATGACCTAAGCGAAAGTCGGACGCTTAACCGACTAAGCCACCCAGGTGCCCCTAGTTATAGCTCTTAATCCAAAATCAACTTGAACTTAATAAGAGAGGCTATACTTACTATGATGTGAAAGAGGTCCTTCATCTTCAGCTTTCGTAAACTGTAGTGAAGTTAGGAGCTACTACTCTATTGCTAGATGAAAAAATTTCACTTATGTCAGGAAAAACTTAGACAAACCAACTTATGCCTTACAAATGTAAAATAAATTTTGTAGACCCCTCTTCTCTAAAGAGACCATCAGCGCCCTGTCCAGGCTCTGAAACTCCGTAAGAGCAATTAGGAAAAAAACAAGACAGACTTCAATATGAGAAGTGGCCTAAACACGTTTCCTGAGGGAAGCAATTCTGATTTTTCTTGTTACATATTCTCTTGATCTTCAAGCTCTTTTAAAACCCAGTCCATTCCTAACCTTATTCTGAAAACGGATGAGTCTGAAGTAAAACACATCTTTTGAAAAATGTGTATAAAAGTAAATACTTTTCAGGTCTTCATACATAAAGCATATAAGCTGGTGGCATCAATACCCTGGGACAGTCTAAGGCTTGCTTTTACACCAGCAATTTAGGAAGTTGCCTTGACTACTCAATTTGCCTTTAGAGTTTAGAACTCAACACAGAAATAAATGTAGTTGTCAGACTTCTGTGCAACATAGCAAAGCCTCATTTATTACATTTTTATACCCTGCAAACTTAAATTTTTAAATAATTCCAGGCCCTGATGTAGACCATGATTGTACTGTCGATTTTAAAATTTTTCTCTTTGGGGTGCCTGGGTGGCTCAGTCGGTTAAGTGTCCAACTTCGGCTCAGGTCATGACCTCACAATTCTTGGGTTCGAGGCTGCATCAGGCTCTGCGCTGGCAGCTACCTCAGAGCCTGGAGCCTGCTTCAGATTCTGTATCTCCCTCTCTCTCTCTGACCCTCCCCTGCTCACACTGTTTCTCTTTCTCACAAATAAATAAAAAAACATTAAAACAAAAAAATTAAAAAAAACTTTCTCTTCTAAAGGAAGACAGGGGCTGACAGATCAACATCATAGGTTCAGTCTGTTGCCATGGAACACAAATTCCGACCTGGTAACAAAATCATTCTGGTAACCTGACACATGGCCAAGATTCTAAAACTATAGATTTAAAGGCATTCTTTTGGATTCTGTCCTTTAATAGTTTTCAAAGGAAAACCAGGAAAAGGCTTCCAGCTCAGAGAAGACCTTGATCAAAGCACAGTACAAGTGGGCAGGTTTGTAGACCTTGGGTAATGCATGGCAAATTCAAGAGGCCAAAGGAGTGCGTTTTCACGATGGGACTCTCACCACTCACTGGTTTTGGGCCAGCTTTCCATAGCCGCCTCTCCCAGCGTCATAGTCCTGCCGATACTCATCTCGTACCTTAATTGAAAAGAACACGTTACATTATAGAGAAGACTGGTGTGGCAAATAAATTCTACACCCAACATGGGGCTTGAACTCATGACCCTGAGGTCAAGAATTACATCTCTACTGAGTCAGCCATGTGCCCCTATTAATGGTTTTTTACCAAACATTATGCTCATATTCTTTCCTCAACCAGCATTTAGAAGTAGCATACTCCAAAGATAAAGTACTTAAATTGGGCTATTTTTTAAAATGAAAACTTAGACCTTATTTCAGTGCATTTTCCTTTTGTTCTAGACACTTGCAGGTGCAAAATATCTAGGCCCTGGCAGAAGTTCAATAATAATTGCTTGTGAATGAGAAAGAATGAAATCTGGCCATGTGTAGCAACATGGATGGACCTTGAGGGTGTTATGCTGAGCGAAATAAGTCAGGCAGAGAAGGACAAATATCATATGTTTGCACGTATAGGAGGATTAGGAGGAACTTGACGGAGGACCAAGGGGGAGAAGAAGGGGGGAAATGGTGAGGGAAAGGGAGAGAGGCAAACCATGAGAGACTCTTGAATGCTGACAAAAACTGAGGACTGATGGATGTGGGGGGGATGGGCATGGAGGAGGGCACCTTGGGGATGAGCACTGAGTGTTATGTGGAAACTAATTTGACAATAAACTATTTGTAAAAAAAAAAAAAAAAAATTGCTTGTGAAAATGTATATAATCTATAATTTACCAATCCTAATGGGTAGTTTTCAGATTCCTTCAAGCGAGGGTTATAGGCACAAAGTTATTTTCTATAACAGCAAACACAAACTGACAAAATCCTTATCATTAGGACTGAAATCCCAGGCCAACCCTCAGCAAGAGAACCTTCCTACATACCTGGCCCCCAGATCGCCCACGGCCATACTGCCTGCCCTCCTTAAAGCCTGCGTCCCAGTCTGTGCGAATGATCCGGTCATCCAGACGAGTTCCATTTATGTACCTCATGGCATTTTCTGCATCTGCTCTTGAATAGTATCTTAAGTGGAAGTATTAAGGAACACTATACAGTATTTCTCCAAACATTTTTAGAAATACAGGAAACCTCTAAATGAGATAAGAAAGAGTCCAAAACCGAATCCAACCAGATGGATTTCAAATGAAGACAGTAATCTGGCTTGCACAAGCCTGTTTGAGGTTGGTCCAAAAGCACTTACAGAGTCAACTATGACTTATCCATGGCTACTGACCACGATTTCCTTGAGTATCCTGTTGATAATGATTTGGTCCCAGTGTCCCCATATTTTGGTTTGTAAAGTACAGATATGTTCAGTGCAGGTTTAGATCACAAACTGCATACTTCTTATCCAAAGAAACAAAAACATCCAAATCTGAACTGAATATTCAACAACCTTAATAAAAAGAAATTACAGTGCATATGGAATTGCCATTGCATTTCATTAGAAGGAAAGACTCGGTATCACCCAGTTGTTTCCAAATCTATTTAATCAGGTCTACTAAATCTATCTTTGGGTTGATATTTACAAAAAAAAAATCTCCAGGGGTGCTTGGATGGCTCAGGCGATTAAGCATTCAACTTCTGATTTCAGCTCAGGTCAGGATTTCATGGATCGTGAGTTCAAGCCCCATGTAGGGCTCCATGCTGACAGTTGGGGAGCCTTCTTGGGATTATCCCTTTCCCTCTCTCTGCTCTTCCCCTGCTTGTGTGCATACTCTCTCAATATAAATTAACATTAAAAAAATATGTATTGGAGCGCCTGGGTGGCTCAGTCAGTTGAGCTCAGGTCATGATCTCACAGTTCATGGGTTTGAGCCCCACGTTGGGCTCTGTGCTGACAGCTCAAGAGCCTGGAGCCTGTTTCAGATTCTGTATCTCCCTCTCTCTCTGACCCTCCCCTGCTCATGCTGTCTCTCTCTCAGAAATAAGTAAAACATTAAAAAAAATTTTTTTTAATGTATTTAAAAACCTCCATAAGCAATTATGATCATTGTGGCTGGATCAGGAAGTGCTGATCTAGATTTTTCCCTCATGTCTTTTTTTTGTTTTATGTTTGAGAGAGAGAGTGAAAGGGCAAAAGTGAGCAAGCAGGGAAGGGGCAGAGAAAGGGGAAGAGAGGGAGAATCACAAGCAGGCTCTGCACTGTCAGCATAGAGCCCAACTCGGGGATCAATCTCACAAGCCACAAGATCATGGCCTTAGCGGAGACCAAGAGTCAAATGTTTAACTGAGTCACTCAGGTGCCCGTTTCCCTCTAGGTCTTTAATTACACAGGTAGGGAATCACTTGCTGCAATTCCAGTGTCCAACACCTACCCTGCTGGCACAAAATAGGCATTCAATAATTTGTTTTTGCTAAATGAATGACATGAGAAAAGGGCAAACAGAAAAACCACTGGCCGTGGCAGCCTCTCTTTTGGGTATTTGCTATTATAATTGTCAATCTCTGACATATAAGACAGATGGCAAAAGCATTCCAGTTCTCAGAGACTATAATTATTATCTATAATAATAATAGATCTTCCTTTCTCTGCTTTTTGTGTTTTCTTCGTTCTCCCTGTTCTCTTGTAAAGAGGCAAATGTAAAATCTGAGCGATCCTGCCCTGTGTGTCTGACGGGAGAACGGAAGAAGCTTGCAGAGCCCAGAAATCAGATACCAAAATCAAGTTTGGAATAGGTTAGAAAGTAGGGCTTCCAGTTCAAGATGACAAAATGGGCACATTCCTTGTTTCCTTCTCAAGACCTCACTAAAATGACAGAAAAGATACATACACCCAAAGAAAGAAGAGGCCATCAGCAAACCAGAGATTCAACAAAGGCTGATGGAAGACTGCTGATGAATGAAACAAAGTCACAGTTTGAAATATTCTTTTTTTTTTTTTTTTTTTTTATTTATTTCTAGGAGAGAGAAACAGCGTGAGCAGGGGAGGGTCAGAGAGAGAGGGAGGCACAGAATCTGAAACAGGCTCCAGGCTCTGAGCTGGCAGTCAGCACAGCCCGACGCGGGGCTCGAACCCACGAACCGCAAGATCATGACCTAAGCGAAAGTCGGAAAGTCGGACGCTTAACCGACTAAGCCACCCAGGCGCCCCCACAGTTTGAAATATTCTTGAAGAAGCTGAAAGGAGACAGCAAACACATGAGGCTCTTAAAGGTATGAGACAGCAAAGTCTGTATGTCGAAAGAAGACCTGGTAGTGGGAAGGAATTTAATCCCAGGCAAATAAAAACAGAGTGACAGAATTCTGAACAAATTGGAGGAACGAGGGCTAGGGCAGTGTCTCTGATGTTATTAAGGCAAAATAAAATCCCTTTTCATCCTGGCATTTGGGAAACCCACATATCCCAAAGGCAAGGCCGAAACTTGAGAGAGAAGATCTGCTGGAGTCTACAGAGTTAGCCTTAGCCTTTCCCTAATTATGATCAGAAACAAACCAGGGAGCACCAGACATTTAAGGAAAGTTTTAAAGCATAAATGCAACCTGCCAAAAAAAAAAGGTAATTTGGGGCACAAAAAAAGTTTTTTAAAACGTTATTAGATCAAATCTGGGCAAGGTCTCAGAATATAAACCAAAATGACCAAAAAAGAAATTATTGGAGGGAAAAGCCCCCCCAAATGATAAATCCAGGAGGTCCAACATTTACACAATTTCCAGGGAGAGAAATAATCACAAGTAAATTGTTTGGTTCTGACCTATAAAATCAAGTTCTATGTACCTACATAATGAAATTATACAGCAATTTAAAAAAGAGGTAGACCTACATATGCTAACATAAAACAATCTCTAATTGGGGGGGGGGGGAAGATAGTGCATGCAGTATGCTACCACACATCCACAGGATCACTTCTAGAAAGATACCCAAGAGACTGGGTCTCTGGGTTTAGAATGCTACAGAGATTTTATTTTCACTCTACCCTTTGAACTTTTGGTCAGCTTCCTGCCCCCTCTAAGTAGTCTTCACGCCCAGCCTGGGCATGTAGCCCAACATGGGGTTTGAACTCCTATCCTGAGCTTAAGACCGAACTGAGATCAAGAGTTGGACACAAACAACTGAGCCACCAAGGAGCCCCCTTTGGACTTTTGTAAATATCGCGGGCATGTACTTTCAAAAGATTGTTTCTTAAAGAATCAGTTATAAACAAAGCATGGATTTCAGAACAGAATGCAAATGTTATCAGCTTTCACAATGCAACATATAGACACTGGACAGAAAGTTGAGGTAGATGAAGGAAGGGGGAGAGGTTAAGTATAGGATGCTAATTAGTGGATGGCCTCACTCAGTTTTTCAACAGGTGACTAGCCACTCTAGGCCTGCCCTCATCCAAGAGCTTTGTCAGACACACAAGAAGGATACTCCACAAAGCAAAACCCACATGCTGTTTTCTTCATCTTATCCAGGCCCATGATGATTTTCTTTATGTCGCCACTTTTGCTGAAAAGTTCATAGATTTGTTCTTCAGTTGTGTAAAAGGAAAGATTTCCAACATACAACGTACAGCTCTTCTTCAGTAATTTTTCCTGTTCTTCATTGTCACCCTGGAATTTCAAATAGAGAAAAAATTAAGCAACACAATCCAAGAAGAGTCCTGCTTAAATAGTATTCTAAGTATGGCAGTTAGTTCTGATTTGGGAACTTCTCTCTCATCATCCCAGTCTACCACAAATCCCTTGCCCAAAAAAGAAAAAGGGAGGGAGAGAGAGCAAGCGAGCGAGCGTGTGCGCAAGGGAGAGAGGGAGAGAAAGAGGTGTGTTCACATTCTAGGAGACACATCTGCAAGTCCAGACTGCTTTTAGGAGACAGCCACAACTTGAGAGTCATGCAGCACGTCACTCTCCTTCTGTACCACGCCGCCACACAAATGGCCTGCCTCTTCCCTGCACTCCATAGCCTCAACACTGGGTCCTTTCCTCACTGCTCAAATTTAATATACTAGAAAAGCCTTTTTTTATGGTGAAAAATAAAATGGATTTTCAGAGATAGGGTATCCCTTATAAAATGCTTGAAACTGCTTACATGGTGTACATGTTCATATATTTTTCTGAATTTCAGAGAAAATCTAATAATCACTAAAAACCAGAGCTTATGTTCTTGACAGCCTTCCTAATTTGGAAGACAGGATGAAGCCGGAGACAGAAATATAAGTGGCCTTCAGTCAACACACATGACAATACTTGGGGCTCATCACTGGCTATACCTAGTTAGTATTTTACAGCCTGCACAGAAACCAACTGGCCGTCTTGGCTCTTCTCTCCTAGCCTCCACACTGGGCAGGACAGATGCTGACTAAATACAAGACCTACCCACTGACCTCAGGCTCTCAGGTGAAGGCTCTAATATCAACCATACAGTGGTATTCTAATTTAGAAAGTAGCTGAGAAGATCCACACTCAGGCCCCCAGAGCACTGCTGAGAAGATCCACACTCAGGCCCCCAGAGCACTTTCCCAAGAGGCCTCCCTTCACCTACTACTCCATATTTTATAGTGATCCAGTTCCTTCACTGTGAGAATAAGACTTTGCATTGCTGGTCTCTGAATGCTTTGTAGCACAGTGCTCAGACTGACAGGTCTTGTGTAATCACGTTCAGTGGTAGAACAGAAGAGAAACCATCTAAACTCACATCAAAAGGAAAATGATGAAATAAATTGTGGTACATCAAAACCCTGCAGCACCAAGAAAGAAGCAGAACCACATGCAGTGATAGGGAACATCTCTGAGGTAGCACAGTGAGAAAAGATACAGAACAATGTGAATGGTATGCTCCAAATTATTATTTTTACTGTTTATTTTTGAGTGTGTGTGTGTGCATGAGTGGGGGAGGGCCAGAGAGAGAGGGAGACAGAGGATCCCAAGCTCTGCACTGACAGCAGGGGCTGTTTTTATGGGTTGGAGTTTTATGCGGGGCTCCAACCCATAAAACCGAGATTACGACCTGAGCTGAAGTTGGATGCTGAACTGACTGAGTCCCCCCCGAGCCTGGAACCTGCTTCGGATTCTGGGTCTCTCTCTCTCTCTCTCTCTCTGCCCCTCCCCTGCTCATGCTCTGTCTCAATAAATAAATAAATATAAAAAATTTATTTATTTAGAGCACGCGAAAGTGGGGTAAGAGCAGCAAGAGAGGGAGAATCTCAAGCAGGCTGAAGAGCCACAAAGCAAGGCTTGAACCCATGAACTGTGAGATCATGACCTGAGCTGGAATTAAGAGTCAGATGTTCAACTGACTGAGCAACCCAGGTGCCCTGAGTTTTCAGAGCTTTGGAGTGAGACATTAGATAAAGTAGATTCACCTTATATCACTGCTGTTACTTATTAAAATTACCAGGAAGCCTTTTCTTTTGTTCTATTTTCTCACACATGCAAGTAATCCAAACAAATAGCCTATTCTAAACAAACAAGCTGCAGCTTAAGACAACTGTGGTGTAAGTACTTACCTAAGGAATATTCATGTGGGCTCCATTCAGAGAACACCAGAAATTCCTCATGATAGTATCTTACTACTATCTAAATAAAGCTACAGGCCTTAGACTGCACGGATGAATAACAGAAAAAGCTGAAACCTTTCAAAGTTATAATCTCATAGGATGCCTGAAATTCAAGATGGTTATGATGTGGGGAACTTTCTAAAGTAATGAGAACTGTAAAAGTGATAGAAGTGAAAAATCTTGCTTGGTATACAGTAACCATTTAAGACGGCTGGCTTAGGGAATGAACTTAAGATCGTCCTCAATTTGCCTCAAAATCTCCTTTCCCTATCCTACTAACAGATTTTATGCATTCTCCATGCTCACCCTCCTCTGTTTTATTCATTTTTGAGAGGGAGACAGAGCACAAGTGGGGGGAGGAGGTGGAGAGAGGGAGGGAGGGAGAGAGAGGGAGGGAGGAGGGAGGCAGGGTGGGGGAGAGAGCGGGGGAGAGAGAGAGAATGAATCTGAAAGTTTCCAGGTTCTGAGCAGTCAGCATACAGCCCGACATAGGGCAAAGTTGGAGGCTTAACTGCCTGAACCACGCAGGTGCCCCTGCCCACACTCTAAGCAAGTCCCTCCTTTCCTGTCACAAGTGTTCTCCCTTTTCTGAATCCCCACAGCATTCCTTTTCCCCTCACCAATTCTGCTCTAGATTAGGATTACCTGCCATCATTTACAATCCCTATTGGGAGATTATAAACTCTTAGGGTGCGGAGACGATATTTCGTCTCCCTCTAGGACTTAGCAGAAGGTTTCAGCAAAGGCACTCAATAAAAGTTTATGAAGTAATAAGTGGTCGATGAGTGTTGCTCCACCTCGTCAATGCCTTTGCGGATATTGAACAGCCCACCTTGAATATTTGCAGCCTTTCCTTTTTCCACAAACTAAAATCTCCCTCTTCTGAAACCCAGCAGTTCTTTGATCTTGACACCTAGAAACTTAAAGTGCCTAACTTGGCTGGTCCACCTTCCCACTCCGAGGACTCCTTATGGCTGGAGAGAAGACTGAACTTTGTGTCTCGCCAACCCACTGCACAGAACGTTGCAGGACCAATCTACTATACCAAGGAAGGAAAGGGCTCCAACGACAAGAGCTCATCTAATTTAAAATAAAAAAGTAAAGGGGACACCTGGGTGGCTCAGTCAGTTGAGTTTCCCACTCTTGATTTTCGCTGAGGTCATGATCCCAGGGTCACGGGGTGGAGCCCCGCATTGGGCTCCCCGCTAAGCAGGGAGACAGCCTGGGATTCTCTCCCTTCTTCTCCCCCTCCGCAACTCTTCCCCGCTTCTGCTCCCTCTCTAAAATAAATATAAAAATAAAAAGTCCCAGTACCTAGGTCAAGAAGGCGCCCCTCCATACTCCAGGTGTCAAAAGGACACCCTTTGCCCCTCATATCTCAAAATCATCTTCCCAAGGCACTGGCCTGTGAAAACGCAAGCCACTATTACCACTGCCGCTCTGCAGGGAGCAACTGCAAGGGAATGGAAAATAAGCCTCAAATTCTCTATGAGACAAGGACATTCAGTGGTACCCAAATGCCCTTTCAGCATCCGTTCCCCAGGAGGCACCGGGCCTCTCTTCGCGTTTCGAGAAACGAAAGAATGGAAAACGACACAATGAGACAAAAGTAAGCCGATTCTCAGCGTTCTGGCCCTGGGCCTCCGTTTTCGCGGCCTCCCTCACCCGGAAGTGCTGGTCCCGGTACTGGCTCAGCTCCACGTAGGAATCGCTGCGCAGCGCCTTCAGAAGGCCCCCGGACATTGTGCGGAGAGTTGGACGAAAACGCCGCCAGTCTGGGGTCAACGCGGCGGTGGTGGAAGCGGAAACGCGCAGAAGCGGCCGTAGAAGGTGGGTCTCCCGTGGGCCAATCCCAGCGCGGCTGTGTCGTCACTGGGCGGCGCGGGCGCAGACATGGTCCGTTTTGGGGCGTCGCCGGTCGGAAGCAAGAGCGGCGGGCTCTGAGTTCCGGGTTGCTCCAAGGATGGTTCTTCGGCGCCTCTTGGCCGCGCTGCTGCATGGCCCGCAGCTGGTGGAGCGTCTGTCGGAGTCTAAGCCCATCCGGCGTGCGGCGCAGCTCACGGCCTTCGCACTGCTGCAAGCCCAGCTTCGCGGCCAGGACGCGGCCCGGCGCCTGCGAGCCCTCGCGGCTGGGCCCGCGGGCTCCCTAGGTCGCCGCGCTGCCCGCTTCAGAGACACCTTCACTCAGGAGCTGCGGCGCGGCCTCCGGGACCGCCCGGGGTCACCACCGGGTAACCAGAGGGGCACAGGCGCGAACCCCTAAATCCAGGCTGGGTCCGTCAAGGTCACCGGCTTTCCTTTCTGGGCTCGACACAGGCCTCGGCGGTAAGGAGTCACCGTGGGCACTGTGCACCGCTTCGGATTCTGACAGACTGTGGGCCTTCAGGAGTTCCACTCATCAGAGAGCCCAGGCCAAACCGACATCCCCGGTGAAGCCCTGTGGTCGGACTGGACAGTGTGAAGAAAGCCCCCGAAGCCTGACAGAAATTGATAGGCTGGGCCCTGAGGCACCGTGTACAGAGAGCCATGAGCCAAACCACAGCCGAAAGAGTCTGCCCTCTGCGAATGGGACTAAAACTCGTGTTAGATGCTGCTGCCTCTGCATTGATAGAGCAGCGCGCTACTTCCAGGGGAGAGCGTGGATGGAAGGACAGTCCTGCAGCTGCCCAAATCCTCTGATTAAATGTGTGAGCTGAGTAATGGATGTGAGTGTGGTACTTCTGCAAGATGGGCTAGGGTTCCTGGGGTCTGTAGGTCCATGGTAATTCTAGTTAACGCATTTTGAGTGCTTATTCTGTGCTGGCACTTAATAATTGCACTCCGTGTGGATCATCTCGCTTACCCTTTACAACCACTTTGGTAGGGGGACGTGTACGTTACATCCTTACAGAGTGGGATGTGAATATATGAGTTTGATTCCAGGGCCTAAGTCTTTAACTACAAATCTCTGCATCATTTATCCTGACATTCAATGCCTGCCTTCACCCCAGGACCTCCCTACCCCCACTCCCTCCACCCTCCGGACCAAAAGTTACCACTAGGCGTTAGGACTACTGCCTACCATGGAACGAGCTACCTGGATTTCTAGTCCTAATTTTAGAGGGTTTGGGATACAGTCAAGACTATAGTCCAGCTAATGGACCCATGGTTAGGAAATCCATGGTATACAGAAATGCCTTGTCATTTGAGGCTTTTGACTTTCTGATTGCCTCTAATTAGGCTCCACAGTAAATCGTGCAATCTAGGAAGTCTGAAGCCACAGGAGATGCTTTTAGGCTGGTGATCAACGAGAATTTATATTCTGGTCTTTCTTATAGTCACAGAGAGGGAGCTGTATAGGGCCAGAGACCTCCCACGGGGATGGAGAAGCTAAAGTAGCTTTCCTAACGTTCACACTTCTGATTTGATATCCCATCAGAGGTGCTGCTATTTAATCCTGAGGCCAGAAGTTCCACTGTTCTGATGACCAAAGTCTGATTTGGCATCCTACTCTCTTGTCCTATCAAAAGACAAATCCTTCTTCCAGATCACAGACAACTCTGGATTCTCCTTTGAGGTTGTCAGTGCCTGAGGACCTTGTTCCTTCTACTGCCTTTCTGCCTCATTGGTCTCAATCTCACTCATTCGTCTCTGGATCTCAGAGCGGCGGAATATTAGCAGTCCCCAGCTACCTACTCTCAGCACAGGTCAGCACACTGGTAGATCTTTTTCCAGACTGGCAGGGACAAAAAGGAAGCAGTGCAGGAAGCCATGAAGCTACTAGACAAACTGGCCATTTTTGTAAAAAAGGATTAAGAAAAAAAAAAAAAAAAGCAAGAGAAGGGAATAGTTGTTTATTTCTCATGGAAGAAGTGTATAAGAAGCAAGTTCCATCCATTTTTGTAGTGGGAGTCTGAGCAGAGATAGAAAACAGTCCTTTCTGCTCTGGCAACAGGTGATTTGGATGCCTCCCCGCTTCAATGGAGAAGCCTCCAGTGATTGTAGTCACTGGCTTGCCATGCCTCCAGTTACCCTTTGACTAAACAAACAGACCAAATTCTTCCCACCATTGCCAGTGGCAACAATCTCCCAGCATGCCTTTCAAGCTCTTCCAAGTTCTGCCAGAAAATGAAGCAGGGAAACACTCATCCTGCTGTCCTGTAGGGCAATTCTAAGTCACCCTTGATGCCACATAGACCTAACTACGAGTCCTTTTTTTAAAGTGTTTTTTTTTAAGTTTATTTTGAGAGAGACAGGGACAGCATGAGTGGGGGAGGAGCAAAGAAAGAGAGAATCCCAAGCAGGCTCTGCACTGTCAGCATAGAGCCCGATGTGGGACTCAAACTCATGAACCCATGAGATCATGATCTGAGTGGAAACTGAGTCAGACGCTTAACTGACTGAGCCACCCAGATGCCCCTAGATACCAGCATTTTATGGACAGATTTATTAGAGGACAGACCATTAACTATGTGGACCGCTAGGCCAGCAGTTCCTCTAGGGAATTCTGAGACTGTGGACCCAACTCGGGGAGGGAAGAGGCAGAAGTCCCAAGATGTCTGAAGGAGTTTGGAACACTAGAGTCTGGAGTGTCTCCAAGGTGGCACTAGGGCAGAAAAGTCATTTTGGGCTGCAAAATAAGGAAATAAGTGCTTATTGTGTGCCAGAGTTGATGTTAGGCACTAAGGATAGGAAGACAAATCAGAGGTTCATAGAAACCTAAACCACAATGGTGGATAGATACTGTAGACTTTAAATCAATGGATACTATAGAATTGAAAGGAGGGAAATGCCTCAGTAGTTTGCTAGAGCCAACTTACATTGGCTCCTGAGAGCACGTCTTTGGCATCTCCTCCCAACTTGGAGTTCAGTAACATCATGTTGGTCATTTGAAATCAGCCAGTGTGGGAGTATTTATACCACAGAAATTGGCAAATACTACAAATTGGGGCTTTTTTGCCCCCAGAAAATGGGTTGCTAAACATTTACTAGCCATACCCCTGACTTTACTCTTCCTCAGGGCTGGAGTTATGAGGAGGGTGTGGCATTAAGACTGGCAGGAGCCCCGGGGCAGCATGACTGAAAGGATTGTAGCTTCAAGATGATCCAAGCCTTGGGCGCCTGAGTGGCTCAGTCATTAAGCATCTGACTTCCGCTCAGGTCTTGACCTCATTGCTCATGAGCTCTGCTTTGAACCCCATTTCTCTCTCTCCCTCTCTATCTCTGCCCCTCCTGGGATCCTCTCTCTCTCTCTCTCTGGGGAAAAAAAAAAAAGAAAAGATGACCCAAACCTTAGCCAGCAGAAGCCAGGACTAGAAAAGTGCTCAGGTTTGGTCATTCATATTGGTTTGGTCTCCTGCTCTGTACTGATTTCCAGCTCACTGATTTCTGTGGCGTGGGTGCCTCTTATTCTCACGAGCTGGTAGGGATTTGAAGAATGAGAGCGAGGACAGGCTTAGAGCCAGAGCTCCTCACGTTCCCAGTGGATAGGTACAGGTGCCTTTAGATGCAGGGAGCACTGTGCTAGAGGCCATGATGGCTTCTGCCAGAGCAGCAGGTGTTGGTTTGGCATGGGCTTTGCCCTCCATCCTATGAAAAGGCTTCAGACAGGGGCTATGAGCTTCGAGAGTGACCAGACCACTTTTAAGAAGTCTCTGGTAGCATCAGATTGCTCTCAAGTGAACCAGCTACTAACAGCATTGTGTGCTCTCCATTTCCACTCCAGCAGGCTGGGCAGGCTGAGGGAGGAGAATGATTTTTTTTTCTTTTTCTTTTTTTTTTTTTTTAAGAGAGAGAGAGAGAGCAAGTGGGGAAGGGGCAGCGAGAGGGAGACAGAATCTGAACTGTGAGATCATAACCTGAGCTAAACTCGGACGCCCAACCATCTGAGCCACCCAGGCACCCTGGAGAATGATCTTTAAAGGGTGAGATGTCCCACCACGTCTCTCAGGGATGGAAGTAGAAGAAGGTGGGGAGAAAAGTTCCAGAACTACCTGTTTTGGTAATAACAAAACGCTGAGACAGCAAGCATCAGAGTGCCATTAAATACACTGCCACTCTATGTTTTGGAAGAGATGTGCCTATTTAGCCAGGGGACATGTGCTGCAGACCAAGGCATGACATGGTGTCAGCTGGCAGACACCTCAAGAGATCCTCTCGTCCATTGTACGGATCAGAAACTAAGGCTGGGGGCGGGGACGGGGAGGGACTTTGTTAAGATCACACAGCCAGTGAGTGGCAGACAAACCAGGGACTAGAATTTGGGTCTCCAGAACCTGAACTACCTGGTCTTTCTACATCACCACACTGCCTCCTTCCCAGGTATCTAGGAAGCTAGAGGGTTATCAGGACAGCAGGAGGTAAGGCATCCTGGAAGGTTTGAGAGAGGTCAGTCAGGACTGTCAATGGCAGATCTCTCTTTTCATAACCAAGTGCTATTACATGTCACAACATCACAGTGGTTAGAAGGAACAGAGCAGGAACAGACAGGCGCCATTGGTTATACAAGGTTCTTTGGGGACCTTGGCATCAGGATTGTGACTGGTCAGATCTTTGGTCTTTAAGGGGAAAAAGGTGCCAGCTTACCCAGAAGGTAGAGCAGCCAAAGCCTCTGCACAGGAGAGGCAGTGGTGGGAATTCTGGAAGGGAAAGGAATGGAAGGGAAGTAGGGCTCCGTCCCAGGCCTCTACCCACATAGAAAGTGGAATGGTGCCTTCACCTATGGCTGCGTTTCAGGCAATGGCTTTTCTGTCACATTGTCAGGCTTTTCCCCCAGTTCCAGGATGTGAAGGCTGAGATGGTCCCTCCAAGCCCTACTCAACAGAGAGGACAGGGCTGGTGGATCTTCCAGGGTCAAGTGGGGAAACATGAGTGTCTCACTCTTGAATGGGAAATGGCACTTCTCCATGGCGGGCCTGGTGGTGCCAGGAGTCACCACAAAAAGGCGGCAGAGCCACGGCCCACCAGCCACCTGGCAGGCTGGCTGTCTGGTGAAGTTGTTCAGGGCGCGGCACAGGACCCAGTCCTCAGTCCCACCCATGTCCACCACCTCCACAGACGAGCCCAGGCCCGGGAGGTGCAGCAGGTGCCGGGGGGGCATGTAGGTGTGGGTGAAGAGGAATGTGTAGTGGGTAGGCTTGCTTGGGAGCACGGGGGTGTGAACCACCTGCTCCAGGTGCTCCAGGCCAGGCACCAGGCCCCCCTGGTGCAGGCAGCCAAAGAAGAGGGCACCCAGGCTGTTGAAGAGGACCAGGCTGCCCTTGCAGGGCACAGATTGGGTCTGTGGACTACAGAGCAGGACTAGGGGGACCAGAAGGGGGATCAGGAACCTAGCCTCCTGGTGGCTAAAGGCAGACAGCAGGGCCAGAGGCGTGAAGTAGAGGAGCAGGAGGCGAGACCTGGGGCTGGGCAGCAGGCTCCGGCCACCCGGAGCCCCTGGGAAGCCCGTTCGTGTGAAGGCCCAGAGGCAGGCTTGCAGCTGCTGCCATGCAGCCTGCAGGGCCTGGGCGTGCAGCATCCCAAAGAGCAGGAAACCGTTGACGGCCAGGTGGGTCAGCCGCATGTGCGTGCCATGCCTCGCCAGGTTTTGAGGATCCAGGTTGTAGTACAAGAAGTTGGCGGGTGTAAGAACAAGGGTGCTGGGTCTAGATGGACTGGAGAAATACCAGCTGTCCACGGCCACAAACACCGCCGCCACGAGGGTCGCCCCTGGGAGCAGCTCCAGGGCTTCCTTCGTCAGTGACCTGAAGCCAGGGTTTGTGGCCTCACAAATGCTCCAGAGGAAGAGTGGGACCAGAGCGAAGGCCAGAAACGTGGGCCGGTTGAAGAAGCCAGCAGCCACGACACCTCCAAGAAGCCAGCTGTGCCACCACGGGCCCGGAGCAGGCTTCTTGGGTGTGGGGCTCCAAGCTAACCGGGGGGACACCAGTATCAGTAGCCCGGCAAAGAGCAGTCCCTCGATGGCGTTGGAGAAGGTCCTTGTGTAGAAGACCAGGGTGACATAGGAACCAGACAGCAGGGCCAGGGCATTCCAGCGCTCCGACCCCCACAGTGGGGCCAGGTGGTACACGGCCGTGTCCAGGGCAAAGGAGAGGGCAGTGAGGAGGAGCCGGGGTCCTACCAGCAGCACATAGCCACTCACTGGGCCTGGCCATGGCCCCCACTGTTCCCAGAGCCTGAGAAGCCAGAAAGCAGAGCCGGAGGTCAGCAGTGGGAAGACCACCGTGCGGCAGGAGCTGGCAGGGTGAAACTCCCACGGCCGTGCAGCTTCTATACCCAGGATGTCCTCTGCGGACAGAGAAGTGGAGATGAGCCAGGTCCAAGCTCAGGGCACATGGGAGACAAAATTCTAGGATGGCCCAGAGATTTTCCCAGCCTCTAGTGAACATGGCCCCCACAGTCCCTGGGACTCTGAAGATAATGGCTTTCACTGTGTGGTTAGATTATGTCGCAGGGGACAGGTGATGGTTAGACAGGGGTAAGTAACCCCATGTGGGCCTGATACAACCACAAGAGCCTTTTAAAAGCAGAGAGTTTTCTCAGCTGGTGGCAGAAAAGGACATCAAGGAATCAAACCATGAGGACTGGATGCACCACTGCCGGCTCGGAGGTGGAGGGCTCCTGGCAGGGAATGTGGGTGGCCTCTAGTCCCACAGCGGCAGATTTGTCCGACAAGAATGAGCTTCCAGACAAGAACTCACCCTGGCCCAGACCTTGATCTTCACCTCGTGACACACTGAGCAGGGAGCCCCTACCTGACTTCTGATTTATGGAACCACGATTTATTAAGCATCAGTAGAAATGACTATAGGGGAGCTCAGCCCTTCCCAGGTCCCCCTGTGAAGGGGGCAGGAGGAAGAACCATGCCTGGGAAGTGAGGGGACAGTGTGCCCTGGGCAGGGTGTGGGGAGAGCAGGGGGAGGCTCTAGTCATCTCCTCAGGTGCTAAAGCCTCCAACGTCAGAGTCAAACACCTGCCTCTGTGATGACGGTTGTTATCCAGGACAGGCATGTGGGACTGGGGGAAGGGAATGAGCGGTGGTGGTTATGATCAGAAGTGACTTCAGTGTCATCTATGATACTTAAGATTTTTAGAAGAAGAATGTATTCTACTTATGTCATTTAAAACCTGCTTGCTACCTAGGGCTGGTCTGTGCCCCTGTGCCCCAGTGTCCCAGAACTCTAAGGTGTGGGTGAGGGAAACCACTCTTAATTTCTGCCTCTCAGCTCCAAGCCCCACAATGGCTCAGGTTCGGTTAACACTGCTGGCTGTTTAGGGCTCTTGGCTTCTCCTACTTATTTTACTTATTCCTATGGCCTCTTGGCTGTTTTCTCTTTCTATGTCAGAAGGTGAAAGAAACTAAATCTAGGATCAGATCAATCTGGCTGCTTTGTTTTACTGGCCAGGTTTTTAAAAAGTGTGGAAAAGACTGGACTTTTCATCTTAAGAAATGAATCCACCTGTTGAGCCCTATGACAGAGATAGATGCATGCCTCCCCAGGATCCATCCTTTCCTTCCCTCCCTCCCTCCTTCCTTTCCTCCATTCCTCCTACCTCCCTCCCTCTCTTCCTTCATCTCTTTAGTTGGGCATTTGGTCAGATATAAAGAGTACTTTTCAGGGGCATCTGGCTGGCTTAGTCAGTGGAATATGTGACTCTTAATCTTGTGGTTGTACATTCAAGTCCCACATTGGGTGTAGAGATTACTTAAAAATAAAATCTTTATGGAGGGCCTGGGTGGCTTAGTCGGTGGCTTAGTCGGGTTTTGGCTTAGGTTACGGTCTCACAGTTTTTGGGTTCAAGCCCCGCATCGGGCTCTATGCTGATATTCAGAGCCTGCTTGGGACTCTCTCCCTCTCTCTCTGCTTCTCCCCTGCTCACACACGCGCATGCCCTCTCTCTCTCTCTCTCTCTCAGAATAAATAAACTTTAAAACATAAAATCTTTTTTTTTAAAGACCATTTTTCAGCTTTCTTTGCAAATGGGTGTGCTCATGTAATATATCCTGACCAGTGGCATGGAAATGGGCAAAAAGTATGTGACATTAAAAATATGCCCATTAAAGAGAGCAGGCTTGCCCATCTCCTTTCCCATAGCTGAAAAGACTTGATTTTAGACTTGATGACTGGAGTTCAAGCAGCCAGCTTGAACCATGAGGAAGAAACCATGCACCCAGAGCATCTGAAAAGCTTCAAGGTCTCTGGCAACCACCCTCATGAGGTGTCCTACACCACCCAGCAGGTAAGTTCTTACAAGTGAGCATTGCAGGCCTGGATTTCCTCAGCCCTTCTATCAAAGTGGAGAAGCAAAGTTTCATTATCTCAGACCACAGCCCTGTGGAAGTTTCCCTAAGCACCTGGAAAGCCCAACTCTAAAATCTCTCCGCTGAGAAGTACAAAACTGCTTTCATTCTGAATAACCTTTCATTCTGAATAACCTTTTCCAAGCAGGAAAACGTCAAAGGCTGGCATCTTTTTAGTATCATCCAGAAGGTCAATGACACCCCTCAGGAAGGAGATGTGAAATCCCCACTCCCAAGTTCTTATTCCAGAGAGACTCATGGATTTACGGCTCGTCCACACACGTTTCTCCCTCCCCACTGAACATCCAATCAACAATCATCCAGTCTCTGTGGCAACTTATTCTAACCGCACCCAGGAAGCTCACCTGCCATGACCTCGGGTGACTGGAAGAACTCATCTGGATGCACATAGCCCGTCTGTGGAAGGAGACACCACAGCAGGCGCAGCAGGCTGAGGCTGCCCCACAGGGCCCTGAGTGCCATCTTCAGATCCAACTGCTGCCAAGACGCTGGGCCGAGTGCCTAGAATAGCTTCTCTGTTGCTCCAGACGCAATTCTGATTCCACAGTTCCACAGCTGCTAACGAGAACGTTCGTTAGTTGCCGTATGGTAAATTATAATACGTTCAATTGTCTGAACAAACTCAAAATGGGTCTACATACAATAAAAATGTTAATAATAGCTGCTATTTACTAAGTGCCCACTAAGTAGCAGGAACTTAAGATGCATATCTCGTTTTGTCCTTTCTACAGTTTGGGGCAGTGGGTCTTACTATTTCCATTTTATGTATAGGGAAAGCGAGGCCTCTGTTGAGTGACCTGGTCACTTGCTAACCATATTTGCTAAGTGTCTAAATAGGACATCTGCAAATAGGATTAGAGTGCCCTCCAAATATGGGTCTCACGACCCCGTCCTGTTCACCAGCTTCTGTCCACAGGCGTGGCAGCCTGACTCTTGCACTTGTGAAAACTTTCAGAACCTCTATGCATTTCATCCATTTCCCTTCACAAATAAACTACTTTTGACCCTGTAGTCCCCAGTCACTCCCTCCAACCTTCACACAGCCTGAAACTGACCTTTTGGAAGGTGAGAACTTACTGCTGGGTCTGATTGTTTGTGTCCTGCACCATTCATTTGTTGAAATCCTAACGCCGATGTGATGATGTCAGAAAGGTGGGGCCTTTGGGAAGGAGCCCTCCTGAATAGGATTAGTGTTCTTCTGAGAGAGATCTCACAGAACTCCCTCACCCCTTCCAACGTGTGAGGGCACCGTGGGAAGGTGTGGGATGGATGCCAGGAAGAGGGCCCTCACCATGCACACGTGTTGATCTTGGACTTCCCAGACCCTAGAACTGCGGGAAATAAATTCTGTTGTTTATAAGCCACTCAGTATGTGTATTTTGTTAGAGCAGCCTGGGCACACAAAGACACTTTCTCTTTGCATGGGATTTTCACTCCCCAGACTCAAAAATCAGTAGGAATCTGAGCCTGTTACATGATGAACCTATATGTCAGCATCCACATGTCATCTCTGGTGAACAGAAAAGCAAGTTTGACTCTCCTCCAAGAATACATATGGCTACTGTTTCCTGACTTTGATATTTTATTAAGGTTTTATTTATTTATATTTTTTTAATGTTTTATTTATTTCTGAGAGAGAGAGAGAGACAGCGTGAGCAGGGGAGGGTTAGAGAGAGAGGGAGACACAGACTGAAACAGGCTCCAGGCTCTGAGCTGGCAGTCAGCACAGAGCCCGACACGGGGCTCGAACCCACGAACCATGAGATCATGACCTAAGCGAAAGTCGGACGCTTAACCNTATTTTTAATTTGGAGAGAGACAGGGTGCAAATGACAGAGGGGTCAAGAGGGAAGTACAGAGGATCCAAAGCAGGTTCTGTGCTGACAGCAGGCAGCCCAATGCAGGGCCTGAACTCACAAACCATGAGATCACGACCTGAGCGGAAGTCAGATGCTTAAATGACTGAGCCACCCAGGCACCCTGATATTTTAAAGCCTGACCTTAAACAGCTATTGTTCTTAGGTGGAATATGTCATAGCAGAGGTGAGACAGGGTAAAGCAACAGAACAGGAATCTAACAGATGCTGACAAGGAGCCTCTTGACACTCACTAACACTTCAAGGAGTTTGAAAGATAACATTTTGCAGTCTCTGCTCGAACTGAATTGTACAGACTCTTTTTCCAGAACCAGTGACTATCCTGACTTTCAGAGATAAGATGAAGCCAAACTTAATGCTGGAATGCAGGCAAGGACCCCGTTCCTTTCCAGTCAATGCCTGAAAGAGGACTTCAAGTACCTCCATTTTGACCTTAGTCTGTACTTTCTAACTGATCAGATTCTTCTTGCCAGCTTATCCCTTAACTCGGGCAAGAGACCCGGCAGGCACAGCATCCTGTGATGGGAACCAAAGCTAGCCCTTCAAGCAGTAAGGACTTCCCTGACCCAGCAAGACCCCATGCGACTGACCCCAGGACAATGATCTATTTGACCTTTACTGCCCACCCTCATGTACCCACAATGTTATCCCAGTGTCTCCCCAGTGCTGGCCTCCCTGAAATAAGTTCCTTTTCTGTTTCACCCCCACTTGTCTCTCTGCATTTGGATTTTGTCAGCAGTGAGTGACTGAACCTGGTCTGTTTGAGATCCTCGGAGCCCCGGCTCTTGTGCCTCCGTGCCCCGTCTATGTGCCCTCACTTTAACTTTCTTTCCAGGGGGGAGTTCAAAGTGCACTGTAAGTTAGCAGCTCACAGGATGAGGTTATGGCTTTGGTTTTCAGCAGTTTTAGCCCTGCAGGTAACAGGAAGAGATAAAGGTCTCTTTCAGGGCACACACAAGGTTGTCGTTTTATGAAAACCTTGAGCTGGGAATTTGAAGCCCAGCAAAGACATCATATACATGATCACCCAAAACCTCCCCTGAGGTATCTCTAATGCCACATCACTCCATAGACGACCAGTGCCCTCTTTACCACTTGAAATAGGGTCATTAGTGTCTTTAAATCTAATCAGGCTAGGGGCACCTGGGTGGCTCAGTCAGTTAGGCATCCAAGCTCAGGTCATAATCTCATTGTTCACGCATTTGAGCCCCATGCCTGTTTCGGATTCTGTGTCTCCCTCTCTCTCTGTCCCTCCCCCACTTGCACTCTGTCTCTCTGTCTCTCTCTCTCAAAGATAAATAAACATTTTAAAAAATTAAATATAATCAGGCTAGAGAACCAATTCTAGAAAACCCAGAACCTCTATTCAAAAAATCCGTCCTTAAGAATCTGTTCCTCTAGAACCACTTACAGTACAGAGCCTGATGAATGGATGACTGATAAATTATCAGTTCATGAACTGATAATTCATGAATAGTCATGATGAACTGATGAATCTTGATAAATATCCATTCATCAACTGATGAATGGATAAAGAAGATGTGGTTTATATATACAATGGAATACTACTTGGCAAAGAGGAAGAATGAAATCTTGCCATTTGCAGCAACGTGGACTGGAGGGTATTATGCTAAGTGAAATTAAGTCAGCCAGAGAAAGACAGATACCATATGTTTTCACTCATATGTGGATCTTGGGAAACTTAACAGAAGACCATAGGGGAGGGGAAGGGGAAAAAAAGTTACAAACAGAGAGGGAGGGAGGCAAACCACAAGAGACTTTTAAATACAGAGAACAAACTGAGGGTTGATGGGGGAGTGGGGGAGAGGGGAAAGTGGGTGATGGGCATGGAGGAGGGCACTTGTTGGGATGAGCACCAGGTATTGTATGGAAGCCAATTTGACAATAAATTATATTAAAAAAAAAAAGAACCACTTACAGTAACAAAATCTATATTAGTCAGGGTTCAACCAGAGAAAGAGAATCAGTAGGAGATATACATTAAGATTTACGGCAAGGAATTGGCTTATGCACTGGTTGGGGGGGCTGGCTAGGCAAATCTGAAATCTGTCGGGCAGACCTTTAGGAAGGGCAGGTAACTCTAGGGAGGACATGAAGCTGCAGTCCATAGAGGAGGGAAGCTCCTTGGTCAGGAACAACTTTGGTTCTTTCCAAAGGCCTCTCAACTGATTCTCTCAGGTCCACCCAGATTATCTGGAATAATGTCCCTTATTTCAAGTCAAATGATTGTGGACCTCTATTGCCTCTACAAAATACCCTCACAACATTTAGATTAGTGTTTGATCAAATAACTGGGGACTATTGCTCAGTCAGGTTGACACACAAAAACTGACCATCACACCCTAAATAATTCAGTGTTGATAACTGTGTTTGAATTTTAGATCAATGGGAGAATTCTTTATGTAACTTACCAGTGACTCACTTCTTCTACTCAGTGTTCTGTTAATGGTGGTGTTCCCTAAAGCTGTAGTTTCTCTGTGGTATTCCATTGGAGATAGGATAGATAGATAGATAGATAGATAGATAGATAGATAGATAGATAGATAGATATAGATAGATAGATACAGATATAGATATATAGATATATATATATCCACGCACACATATATGTATTCTAAAATTTACTTATTCTTACCGTTATCTGCTAGAGCATCTCTGGATGTTGACAAATTTTTCTATTCCTACGAATGCTGCTGCTACAAACATTATACAGGAGTTCTCTGTGAAGTACATACGTAGAAATGGAACGTCTGAGCCTCGGGTGTGAAGGCTTTCAACTTCATTAAACAATGCCTGACTGTTTTCCAAACGCCCTGCCACCAGCAGATATTATAGTACCCACTGCTTCACATGCTCGTTTATGATCGCGGATTCTCTAACATTTTGATTTTGTGAATCTTGTGGATTACATGCATTTCCCTGACTACCAATGTGGTCAACACCTTTTCAAATGTTTGTGGAACATTTTTGTTTCTTCTGTGGAAATCCTTCTGACCACTTTTTCTTAGTATGTGTAGGAAATCTTTTTTTTTTATGTTTATTTATTTTTGAGAGAGAGCGAGAGACAGCAGGGGAGGGACAGAGAGAGAGGAAGACAGAGGCTCTGAAGCAGACTCCGTGCTGACAGCAGAGATCCCAAAGCGGCACTCAAACTCACGAACTGCAAGATCATGACCTGAGCTAAAGTTGGACGCTTAACCCACTGAGCCACCCTGGCTCCCCTCCAACATTTAATTTTTAATGGTCCATTTTTGTAGACATTCCGTGGATGCTTCAGAGCACCATATATCCTATAGTTATTGGATACAGAGTTCCACAGATGTTCATTGGATCAAGTTTGTTAACTGTGTTGCTCAACCCTATTATATACTTAATGATTTTCCACCACTTATTCCACAAATCACAGAAATGTGTGTTAAAATAGCTCATGAGTAGTGAACTTGTCTAAATTTCCTTGTAATTTTGTCATTTTAGCTCATTTTTGAAGCTATGCCATTGTTTTTATAAAAGTTTAGAATTGTCAGGGTGCCTGGCTGGCTCAGTCGTTAAAGCACGCAATTCTTTTTTTTTTACAAATAGTTTATTGTCAAATTAGTTTCCACA